TAGACATTTTGAATTACCGTATTCCATCTCGCATGTTAACATTTTTGCCTTTAACACCATCAGCATCCAATACCAATGGAAAATCTGATTCAAAACTACTGACCGTGAACAATCGATTAACAAAGGAAGAAAGCAAACGCTACAAAAGATATTGATATGCGAGTTTATTTGCATTTTACCTCCATATATGAATTATCGGCGAAAATTCAAAAACGAAGGACATTCAAATGTACTTATGTCTTAAACAATGAAGGACAAGGGGAGCAATGATGAAAACAGTTGAAAATGTTTGAAAACAAAAATCAAAGCCAGTAAGCCGTTACACTGGTCACATGATCATATCGTGTATTCACCTGATCAAATTCGTTATCGATGCGCCCTCCATATATGGCCTGAGTAAGAAGTGTCCTCAATGCATCCCATGGTACTTTGTCAGGAGATATATTTGTCCGACCCTATAAACAGTATAACAGTTTTACAATACAAATACTTTATATAAATATTTTCGAAGTCTTAACTATTAAACTGACCAATCAAATGGACAAGAGCTGCTTTAACATATCTCATAATAAAAATGAAGATAGTTCCAACTTACTTGGGATGAAATGTCAAGCCACGTGTCAATGGTTTCACAGGCAACTCTAAGGTCAGACTCACTGAACTCATAATGCTTGGACCAACCCAATGGTGCATAACGTAAACGTTCTTGTACAATAGCATGTAACCATGCCAACAGAAAATACAAACGTGTTCGTTCGGTTGGCGCCTTAAATAAATATCAATGATGTAAATAACTGATATTACGTGATATTTGTAAGACAAAAGTGTAGTATTAAATAACAACTATGTTATGTACATGGATAAACAATGTACGTCCTCGGTCTATCGTTATAATCCTATATTTCATGCCATGTCGTAATAAAAATGTAACATGAAGTTCTGCTAACAAAATATCCTTTGTTACAAAATATCAGTTGATCGTGCTAATATATTGTTGAAAAATGTATTTTCAGTATCCGTAATGTTTACCTACCTTGCACATGCGCGATACAGGAATAGTACTGAAAGTTCGGAAAAGGTTTGCTCTTATGCCAGGAGGAGGTTCGAATACAAAAACACGGGAAGCTCGCAATAAATTCACAGGAACCTCAATGAAAAAACCATTAAATTTTAATTAGGAAACAATGAAAATAATGGCAGAAATACAATATGATATTACACAGGATAAAGTTGAACAATGACCACAAACATATTTATTTTAGAAAAGAGATTTTGAAAAACAAAGTAGAAATTTTCGTATACCTTAGGATTAATTTCCATAGTAAGGAAAAGACGGAAATTTGCATGAGGATTCAAAGTGTGTAGTTTGTTTTCCAATGTTACCAACATTGTGGAGCCAAATGAACATTTTTCAACAAAACCCATCTAAAAAACAACAATGAAAAAATCTAGCAATTCACAATTTTAACGTCAACATGAAAAGAAAAATAGCAACAAAATCTAACACTGTTCTTCTCAATAACAAACACACAACTTAAACTTAACAAACACACTTAACAATAACAAACACACAACTTAAAATAGATCCACATAGGGTATATACGGATACGATATTTAAAAAACCCTAATGAGTTCCTATAATATCCACCTCAGTCCTAGCAAGATCATGGCGAAACTCCAAACCAGCTTGTTGAAGATGGTGACTCCAAGTTGTGAACAAATTTTGACGAAGCTGCTGATCGAAATATCCTGCAAGTTAGTCATATAAATTATTATTGCAGCAAACCATTGCTTTAATATGACAAATAAACATAAATTACCTGCATAAGCCAAAAATGCTGACGATAGCATTACATCACCGACAATGGTTCCCATTTGAGCTTGAAAAGCGTTGCTTGTGTCTTGCCAACGACTGCGTTCATCAGACAAACTCCTTAATAATGCCACGCTCCTGTTTACTTTTGATTCAACAGCCGTCATCTCGGTCTTTATCGCTTGTGCTTCACTAATCAAGGCAGCATATTCTTCTTTGTATTGCGCTATGCTTTTCTCCAGACCAGTAATAACTTTGGCAATTTCAGCAGCCTAGTCAAGTTTATCATAATGGTAACATTACACTCTCCATTCACATGATTAAAGAAAAATACAACGACGTATAGCTTTTAACAAAAGTAAAGGCGATTTCAACTGACTTGTACAGAAATTTAAAAAGATTGTAAGCGGTGAGACTGAGGTACTTTATTTAACAACTTCGTATTCATTAAATTCCTATCATTGTGTATAAACACAACTCGTTGCCCGCTTTATTTTGTCAAAATCATATTTCATAGAGATATTTTTACCTTAGCTTCAGCAGCACTTGCTTCAGTTTCTAAACTCTTCAGTTCATGGCGTAAAGGTTCTATTTTCAACAACATATCAGCATATTTCACCTTCAATGTAAAAAAATCATTAATTAAAGATAATCACACGAACAAATGCTTTATATATATATTCACATTACTTTTGACTGCAATTTAATGTGAATATACAATACTAAACATGATTATCTGAACTATTGTAGCTTATATCATGTATTTTACAAAATTGAATGAAGTTAATCGCATGACAGTGAAGTTTTCGAATTATTATCATCAAAACAGTATATTTTATAAAGATGTTTAAATATACATAATCCATAGATCTTTCTTTCTACCACAATGAGAAAAAATTAAGCAGGATATGTGTATACCAGTGCAATGGCCCATTTCACTAACGGACCACGAGCTTGACTTACACGATTGACTTTATCAAAGTTGTAGTCTGGCTGAGACATGTACTTGTTCAACATTTGAGCGCGAACTTCTTCACTACAGGAACATAGAACACAATACGTAGCGTCTTGTACTGCAGGCTCAACCTGCGCTAAATCGTCCATAACAAGTGCTTTCTTTTCTTTAATCTTCACTGTTTGTTGCTGTAGACGGTTGATCACATTTTTCATCAACATATTGTTTTAAAAAGTTGATACAAACGTTTAAACATACCGCAATAGCCGCCTGAAGTTCTGTAGAAGTCACTCTCTTTTTCTCTGCCTCCTGTTGATCTTTTAACTAAACATGTAACTAAAAATATAACAAAGAACACATAATGTAATACATAATGGAACTTGTCGTAGAAACCGAAGTGGACGTGGGGAATACGATAATTGTAATACATTCTATGAATACTACGTAGGTTAAAATTCAGAGAAAACTATTTATTGGTAAATCTTACTACAGCCACAATGACAGGTTGCTGACTTAACTTATGTTGCTCGAAACTGCACTTTTTTCTAAAATGTATGTTATTCTCATTCAAAAATCATTTAATCAAAAGAGATAAATTGAGAAGATTACAGAAAGAGTGAAGTTGAATAAACAGACACAAAACCCGATTAATGAAAAACATACAGGTACAAAAGGGGATAAATGGTAAAAAACCACACAAGGTTGTTAACGAACGAAAACGGAAACAAACGAACATACGTACGTACCATCTGTTTCAGTTTTTGATTAGCTAATGCATTCTTTGCTTCCAATTCTTGACTCTTCATAGATAAACTTTTTTGAAGTTCTTCGACCTAAACACAAAATAAACATAAAACAAAGGAAGATCATTCATGTATTTTGTTTTACAATCAACATACGTACCTGCTCAACAGTTTCTTTTATTTTTGTCAAACCAACATTTAAATGAAGTTGTTGCTCTTCCAAATCTGATCGTTTCTCGTTGTACAGTTTTACCTTTAAAAAGATTTAGAAAAATAATGAACACGCACGCGGGGCGTGACTGTTTTGAACACGCATGGCGTGACTGTTTTGAACACGCGTGGCGTGACTAAGCCAATTCGATAATTGAGGGTGTAGAGAGTGATATTCATATAAGCATGTTTTCCCTTCTTAAACACATGATTACATGAATAATGTTCCCTCCTCTCGACTATCAAAAATTACTACGTCACTGACTGTATAGCATTCGTTTGAGAATGTTTACATTGAGACAACAATGTTTTTTAGACTAAATTTAAAGTCCCCAAAACTTACGTAGTGATTAATAAAATCCAGGTAATGTCTAGGAGTTATTGCCATACAACGTCCTCCGCGTTTAGCAAGACGAGCATTTGCCTGATGTAAAGTTTGATGTACAAATACAAAAGCGTTGATTACTGCCTCACGGTGAGTAGGTGGATCGATAATCCTTCATAAACAACACGAATGTAGTCTGGAGCACGATACTAAATGATGAAAAAATAAACAAATAATTTTACCAAGTACTTATAGTAAACATAAGTCAATATAAAAGAACTTTACCAATGAATTGTCTAAATCAATCTTGCTCGTAAATTCTTTACCAACTTGATAGAGTGCACCAGTCGGCCAATCACCAAACCAATTCAATACGCATCTGTATAGTTAATACAAAATTCGTTGTAACATAAAGCTAACTAAGGCCCACTTTCAAACTTTACATACGTTGGATGCATTAAAGACAAAAAAAATGAGATAAATTGACATTCAAAACGGATGTAACATGTGCAAAAGCCTTATCCTTCCATTAACAGACGTTTACCTGTTAAACAATGCAGGGGAAGTGGCGGCTCTGTCTTTCAGTCCTTCAGAAGATGGATTCATTGTAAAAACGACGTGAAGATTACTTATTACCTGCAAATAAACAATTCACACTAATAAACATTGCTTATGAAAGATAATAAATGTTCTGGTATTTCCTTTACATTAACAAATGATTTTAATTTTTGTTTCTATATACAATATTTATAGCTACACCATAATACAGAATAATCAGAATTTGTCATATAATAATATCCTATTAATAAAAAGCATGTTTCAGGGTGAAATAAACAGTAACTTTACCCATGTGTGTGTTGAAAAAATGTGTAAATAGACACAGTTTAATTACAGATTTGCCGTAAAAATATCGTAATATTAATTTTTACATTATCGTATGAATGTAAATGAAACCTGCTCAGTAAACCATTTGTATAATTCTTCACTTGAGTCCAACATTAGACCATCTCGTTGTGATCCTTCTTTGCATTGTGTCATTAACGTTGTATATTCATCCCCTTCAAACAACCCAGGTACCTAAAAATAAACAACAGTAAATCCCCTTCAAACAACAAGTGATTTTAATTTTTGCTTTTATATACAATATTTATAGCTACATTATGATACAAACAAAGTAATCAGATAATAATATCCTAACTTGATTGCCACCCCAAAACTCCTTATGGTTTTAGATCTGCAGACAGGGAAGTGATCCTTTCCATGTTGTCTTGCATGTTCCCAAGACTATCTTCTACATCATTCCATGTCAGATCTTCTACATAGCCTGTTACATTCTGGTCTTCCATAGTCATTAGCACATCTTGAAAGAAGTCAATCATTCCCTCTTCAATCACACGCCGCGAGCTTTCCTTTTTCTGAATAATATGGCACGAAACATGAAACCAAATAATTAGCATCAGCTGGTTGTCCAGATCGTCCTTTGACAAAAAGCTGCTTGCAAAAATCACTCTCGGCCTGCAATAAGGCCGAAAATCTACTATGATCACATCATCTTGCCATTGGGTGTTAGATAAACTAATGTTATCATTGTCAAATTGATACTGTAACTTGATAGCCATGGTTTATCCTCCTCTACTACAGACTTTAATTGTTTTCTTGCTGGCTGATCAAGTTCATCATCAGTACCAGACTTCTTATCTTCCTCGCTCCTTCTTACACCATCTTTACTGCAGACATTCAAAGACATAGCTCTCACCCCGTTATTTACTATAAAAGTAGTATGCTAAAAATTAATGAATAGTGAATAATGGAAAAAAAGCTCGTCATTTTCGATATTTTGGTAAACTGACACCTCACTTTCCTTGGCCAATTATTTCTAAAGAAATGAATATTGATGTGTCCCTCAAAACTTTCATGCTGACTATTCCACTGTTCACATATTTTTCAATTATCTTGTTAGAAAAGTTAGATATAATTTACCTATTCCACACTGTGTACATTAATTTGGCATTACTTTTGTGCTCTGTGCCACATATACAACAAAATTTCGCACCTTCAAAAGAATTTTTGCCTTCTTTTTTCGCAATATTTTATTTATGTTTATCAGTCCCAGTCTCTTTGACTACTGCTTGTGTGCCGTGAGATTTTGTTTGTGCCGTGAGATTTTGGTTGTGCCGTGAGGAATTTTGTTTGTTCCGTGAGATTTTGTTTGTGCCGTGACACCTATGGGCCACCGTAAAATTGATTATTTACAAGCAGACCTAATAAATGCTGCATTCTTGGATCCTCTCGACGAGTATAAACTTACCAGTCCCTTGGAATACCATCATCTCGAAGGGTCGCCTGAAATACTTACAGTGAGTGTAGAACGTGTCCAGAAGGCATTAAACGCATTAAATGTACACAAAGCGTGTGGCCCAGATGGGATTCCAAACTGGTTATTGAAAGACTTTTCTGATATAGTTGGTCAACCAATAACCTTAATAATCAATGCATCTTACAAAGAACAACAACTCCCAAAAATGTGGAAAAGTGCTAATGTTATACCGCTCCCAAAAGCCAAACCAGTTCAAGACCTTACCAAACAATTAAGACCAATATCTCTCACACCATGTCTCTCAAAGTTAGCTGAAGACTTTATAGTATCAGACTATATAAAACCGGCAGTAACCAAGGTGATCGATCCCAACCAGTATGGGATAGTATCAAGCTCGTCAACAACAATGGCACTGATCAGTATGTTACATAATTGGACATTAGGTACAGATGGAAATGGGTCTACTGTAAGGTCGATTTTATTTGATTATCGAAAAGCATTTGATTATATAGACCATTCCATACTCGTCGACAAACTGTGTAATCTGGACATTCCAATTAGCGTAATCAATTGGATCATCAACTTTCTGAGCGACAGATTGCAACGCGTTAAATTAGCAAATGATTGTTATTCAGACTGGGGCTCTGTTCCATCTGGGGTTCCTCAAGGCACCAAACTAGGACCCTGGCTTTTGCATTGATGATAAACGATCTAAAACACGGAGCACCATCTTTTGGAAATTTGTCGACGACACTACTGCTTCCGAAATTGTACCTAAAGGCAGTGTGAGTCATGCACAAAATATAGCTGACGATGTAAATGATTGGTCCAAAAGAACAGAGTACAATTACATCCTGACAAGTGCAAAGAACTGAGAATATCCTTCAACACAAACACCAAATTTTGACCCACTTGTTATTAACAGCAACGAGGTTGAGGTTGTTAAGTCAGCAAAATTTCTTGGAATTACGATCAGCAATGATTTGACGTGGAACATTCATATTGACAATATTATCAAAAAAGTAAATAAACGAATCTATTTTCTAATTCAATTAAAGAGAGCTAAGGTATCCCTAAAGATCTCTCTTTTATATAACTTGTATAAGATCGGTTATGGATTATGGAGTAGTTAGTTTTTACAATTCCTTACCAAACTACTTAAAAAACGAATTCCAACGTGTAGAAAAAAGAGTGATATCAATAATATGTCCTTATAATAGTTATAAAATTGGGCTGAAAAAGCTAGATATGTCACCAATAGAATTACACCATGAAGATTTATGTAAACGTTATTTCCAGACAATTGAAACAAATGAACGCCATAAATTAAGAAATTTACTGCCAAACAAAAATAACTGTAAATATAGCCTGAGAAGTAAACATAAATATATAGTTCCGCTTGCTCGCACCAACAGAGCGAAGAACTCGTTCATCCTGTCCTTGTGTACATAAAGTTACACAAAAGTGGCCAGGTATGGAATTTTCTTTGTCTCTGTTGGTGTTAGCGAGTACCATTTTTAGATACTTATTTTTAGATTTTTAGATACTTATTTTTAGATACTTATTTGCTATTATAATTTTACTAATGTAGATATTTGCAATTCAGCCGCAAGGCTGCAATTAATATTTTAATAAACTACCTACCTACCTACCTAACGAATGTTCTAGATGTAGAAAGTACAAGATGTCGTTACTAGAAAAATTTAATTTTAACATAATTCTAACAATGGTGTCAAAAAATTGTTATATGATAAAAAAATCCCATATTTGGCACCCCATAGATGAATGCATATCACCTTGAGGTCGTCACCTTGGACGGTAACAAAAAACAAACAGATTTACTGAGGTCACAAAAGCTTCCATACGGCATATTGACGAGAACAAAAGATGAAAAGCTTGTATCTCCTTGTCGCGCTCCTACTTGGGATCTTAGGAAATCCTCAGTTTGTGGTAACAAAGTCAATAGTAACATTGTTTTAATTCTTGGAACTTGAATTTTATCCTAATTTAATGTCTGTTGACATAAGAATGGCTAAATTAATATATTTTCTTCGTTGAACGGCAAAATAACGAAAACCCAACCAAAAGCCTAACTTAACCGACTGTATTTAAAACAAAACAAAATTATTTAAGGAACATCTTTAACTAACTTTTCTTTCCGATACTTTTGGCAAATTATAAGTTCAACGTCGAAAACGTTATTACGGATCAATTAAGAAATTGAAATTATCCTTAGAAAATCAAAGTGGTTAAAGGAAACGACCCAGGATTATGTTATAAAAATAGCAGTGAAAAGATGACGCTGGTTCGTGATCGACAAAACATACCTAAACTCTTGATATGTTCAAATGTCAACGGTGTTTTTTCATGGAGAACAGTGGACGGTAGATGTGATATCATGGTTTAATTCAGTAGTTCAATGATGCCTAAATTATCTATAGCTGCAATTGTTTACTTACAGGTTCTAGTTCTCCAGGAGAATTTTTTGACCCAGTATACGACTGTTCAACCATATTGGATAAAGATCCAAAAGCTAAAGATGGATTTTATTGGATAACACTTGGAGAAAAGAAACCAAAAAGGGTAAGAATATATAAGATCAATGTTATTTTCACAGATTATGGAGCAACATTATTTCAACTCACTTATTATGTTCGTTTATAAATATATTTAAAAAATTTTTATTGATTTTAGGCGTGAACAAATTTTTAAAATTCCGATGAGATTATTTTCATTAAAGGTTTATTGTGACATGACAACTGATGATGGTGGGTTCATGTTGATTGGTCGACAAAATACATCCGTTACATGGACAGTACCATCTAACAACAAGACAGTGGAACCATTTGCTGAACCTCATTGGATAAGTTCATTAGGAGAGGCTCCAATGGTTGATTTCAGAGTACAAATGGCCACTAAAGATGATTTTAAGACAACTCAAGCTCATTGGTATAAAAATGATTACTTTTGCAAATAGTTTCCTTAGCAAAAAAATTTTAGTGGATGTCAATAATTTCAGGTTTTACAGATTTCAAAATCCACGAAAATTAAAAAATCTGATGATTTACAACAAAGGAGGCTGTACAAATACATCACCTGGGATTGGTGACGTTAAATTTGTAAAAGATCTGATGACTGAAAATATTGTGACAACAAGTTTTCGTTGCTCAAAGTTTGGATTGGCGTACAATAAAAGAGCACAGTTTGGATGGGTATGAAGAGAATGATTCAATTGTTGGGTTCATATCAGCGATATGAACTTTAGAATATGGTGTGATTTCTGTCCTCTTCGTGTTTGTAGGCAAGAATGAACGACTGTTTAAACAGACCATGTCCTTGGGGATTTGCTTTTCACCACAAATATCCCTTCAAACTGACTTTTCTGGAGCATTCAGGTAACGACAATAATTTAAAGCTAACAATTTTACGCACATTTACTGTTCATCTAGACGTTTAGAGTTTAAAATACATATGTTGTGTATTTATAAATGATGACGTTTATCATCAACCTTTACTTAAATAAGTAAGTGTACTATGTTAGATGTAATTTTTTGAGATTCTTCCTCTCCCTCCCTCCTCTTCGAATGAACAAATGGAAATCCCGCCAGTAGCACTGTACGCAAGGATATAAAAAATGAAGTAGAAGTAATTAGAAAACAGAAACTTCTTTTAATAAAATGGCGATTCTTTAAAATTAAATACTTCTGTATACTAAAAAGCAGAGAAAAAAATTCATCTTTAACATTTTTTAAAATTCAGCTACAGCACAACGAATCAAATTTCAGGGATAAACTTTGGAGCGACGGCATTAGTTGGCTGTGACAACAGAAAGGTTTTTATTATTGTCTGTAAATTATTTTGTTTTAAGAATATAAAATTCAGTCTCTGGAGCTCAATCATGAGTGTAAGGTGTAGGTCAGATAAAGACCTTATTGTATTGATTGGACAAGCTTAACACAGGCCTGTACTTTTTTTCAAATACTGTTGTGGACTGTATGGATAGGTAAAGTCAATAATGAATAGTTTTGGCGTATAAATGATAACTGTTTTGGTGATACATGTAAGGTATCATGTAAGGTATATGCACGTATATGCACGTATATGCACGTAAGGTTTTTTTTCAGTTTGTTTCTATCGTTAGATTGAAAGGAGTTGACAGTTTTGTCAATTTATTTAAAAAAACGTAATCGCAGGAAAAATGATTTAGATGATAATCATCATTTTATCTCATCCTTAATAAACTTTACTAGCTCATAATTAATGTTTAACACTGCTAAAATTAGTGCCCGTCAGTGCTAAACTAACAAAACGCTTTTTGGATAGAGCAGCTAGTCTCAACGTATATTACGTATTATTGAATAATATCTAGTGCTGTGGTTGTTATGGTCCTAAGAATGGCAAGAAAAATTATTGTTTTAAAGAATGTAATAAAGCAAATGGTGGAACAATAGAGAAAAATGTTTATACATGGTTTTGGGTGCGTTCTCGCATTCCTAAAAGAATATGGAGCAATTGTTTGGATTACAAAGTTATACAAAATGGAAATGCTGTTTGGTACAAGTTACTGGGTAGTAATGAAGTACCTGTGAAAGTATGTTGTGCATGTGTATAACTCCTATCATGGCATTATAATGATGAATATAATATGTCATACAAACATTTAAAAAATGAATCAGTCCATCTATAATCAACCAAATAGTTATTAAAAAACTGTGATTTAAGAAATCGTCGTAAATCTGAGGGCAGGCCGGATTAAGAAGTGCCCTAGTCCTGGGGAAAAGAAATCTGTGGAGTATGAAAACTATGAGCAGCATAAGCGACTCACATCTTCAGTTATTTTTCCAATAAATAAAACTAAGTTTAGTATGTTTCCCAGCTAATTTTTTCTTGACAATAAACAAAATATTTTTCTTTATTCTACAGAAACAAAGTTTAAATCCATCTTGAAGTATATGAAAGCCCCTGGACTGCTGCCTACTCTTGCCCTTAGGTTAATCCGGCAATGTTTGATGAAACTACACATCCTTCAGAAATGCTGAAGTGTCTTTTATTTTGCTAGGGTCGTTGTACAAAAAATAAACCATTATTTTACAAAGGAGTAAGTGATAATATATGCAATTTATTTTCGAGTTTCTTTCATCATTCTTCAATTAATACGTGTCACTTTCATAAAATTAATTCGTTGCACGAGCACACATATATTCGTAGTATTTTTGACGTCAATTTTTTATCAAAAGTATACATGTAAATACGGTGTTAATTTTCACTTACTTAGGCTAAATCTTTACTTTAACAGATGATTGTTGTACCAGATAATATCACTATGAAAAAAGTTCCAAGTATTGAAGGGATGATGGTTTATCGTAAAGACAAAAATAAACTTTATGTCCAAGAAGATAAACAACTAAAGGCATTGGCTGAAGAAAAAAAGGTATAAGATTTTCAAGTGCTCTATGAATCAGAATGAGGTTAATCAGAGCAAATGCAAAACCTAATTGGCCATGCACGGCAATTATAACAACGAGTTTATTAAAACCTATAAAAACTATTATTTTCTAGATTCTACAAACTCTGAACAAAGGCATATCGAAGCTTGAGAATAAAATACAAACCCTAAATATTTCTTTGGACAGAACATTTTATTCTTTTCTTTCACGTACGTATTTACAGTCTAAAATTTTTATTGATGACTTTACATTAAAAGTAAATTGCTCAAAAATGCAAGAGGATCTGATATCACGTACATCTATGTTTGAACTTGAAATAAAAGAACATCACGCGCTATTTTTTTAGTTAATTTCCAACAATCCAAATCGCCATAAACGATTTTCATTGACAAATGTCAACTAATCACTTGAACAAAATCTTTAGGTGATATTTTGTTTTCAACAATACTCAATGATGAACCAGAAAGTTTTTTGAAACAATTAAAGAACTGGTTTTCATTCAGAATTTTGCGTTGTTGTTGGAGAGCCTCCACTGATGGATGGGATTCCAGAATTTTCCACTCAAGATGTGACAATCGAGGAAAAACTATAACTTTAGTTAAAGTTGGTAAATACATTTTTGGTGGATATTCAACGATAAGTTGGGATGGTAAGTTTTTCAATAATTCAATGTATGTTTATAATGGCGAATGTTTAATTTTTGTCTTTAAATTTGTTGATGAGTTGGTTCTTACTTCTTGTTTAGTAATTTTATAAACATTTACTAATAAATAAAGTACGAGAGAAATGTTGATTGTGCCCATCAAATATAAAAAGTAACAACCACTTTAAACATAAATTTATATTTATAGGTTCAAGTGGAAGTTATGGAAACAGTTCCAGTAATTACATTTTCTCACTTCGTAACAAAGACAATTTAAGTCCATTTAGATCACCAGTTTATCGATACAGTCACACTGCCATTTATACTTACCCTAGCCGTGGACCAACGTTTGGAGGAGGATTTGACTTCTACATTGCAAGCAACGCAAACAAGAACACAAATTCCTACACCGATTTTGGACACACCTATCGTCCTCCATCTGGTTACAGCTATAGGAGTAGTAACACCAGAGCTCTTCTTGCAGGTTCACGCTACTTTACACCCTATGAAGTTGAAGTTTATTATTATGTTTAACGTTTCACGTGAACTTCACGTGTTCTTCATAATTATCAATTCAGAAATGTAGCTATGATGCAGTGTTAAAGTAGATTTTGTAGATGTAATTAAATGCTGTCTTCATTATTTCTATCATAATAATCTTTCATCAAAATTTTGTTTTGTCTCTTTTTCCTCGCTGAACTGTTTTACAATTTTATTATTTTTATCTTTACTCACTCTAAGGCTTTAAAATCTCCTCATAACTACTGGAAAATTTCGTATTAAAGAGTAGCTATGTTTATAAAAATGAGAAAATTGATGAGATTGTGAAACAGTACCGTTACTATCACACAATAATATTGTGCATCATTTGACTTGCTCAAAAAAATCTGATTATATTGTTGTGTAATATAGATTGCATGATTGTAAATGATGATTGTCCAGGTTAATAAAGTCCTGAGAAGGACTGTTTTTGATGTTGTTGACTGACGTTTACTCCTCATTTGACTCTGAAGATGACTACCGCTAAGGTTGTCGAAACGTCAGTCAACAACATCAAAAACAGTCCTTCTCAGGACTTTATTAACCTGGACGATCATCATTTACAAACATATAACGATACTCCCGGGTTCAAACCATTTACTTTATAGATTGCATGACGAAGAAAAAATTATCTTAATTAAAACCATTTTAAAAATAGCCTTTCTTGCCGAGAATTTAGTTGTAGTCTCCTTAACGTAAAGTGATGTACTCATAGTTTCCTAATTGTTTGCATGTAATTTAAAAAAGATGAAAGAATTTTTATTTAATTTGTAATGCTACATTAGAAATTGATGAAGAAGATGTGATGGAATCGTTCTTCCTTAGTTTAAGTGACCTTAGTCCAAAAGTAAATGGATTAGAATTGAACAAGTATACGTGTAAGGACTGAAGAAACTGAAACCGAAACAATGAATCAATGTTTTATTTCCAATGTTATAGACCTGTTCATTCAAAAAGGCTTTCTATTGGGAAGCTTCGTTTTCATGAAATATTCGGCAAAGCAGCTTTACAGGTATAGCTTTTGCATAGAAATGTCTATACAAAATGAAATATGTATTAATACCAATATAGCAACCTTATCATATTGGTCTTATTGTGTTTTTGTGTGAAGTTTGTGTTTGTTTGACTGTATCCATGGATGTATAAGAAAAACAACAAATTCAAAGAAGTGCTTGGTGAACTTTGTGAGAACTTTGTAAAAGTTTGCAAAACCAGTTTTAACGGCGATGTCGGTACAAATATGAAAAATGACATTACCTAGGATTATGACTGATTTGCATGTGAAACAAAAGTATTTTGTCATCTAAGGGAAAAGTGAGTGACAGATAGGAAAGAGGGGAAAATTACTCTTCAGATATATCTTGTGTCCAACACACCATAATATGAGTGAGTGTGCAGGGTTAATGCTGAGTTAAAATTGACTTTTTCAAACAATAACTTGTTAAGTTACGTCTGATAGGGATATTTTTATACTTAGAGTTGAAGACTTACGATTGCCAACGATTAGTTATAGAATCGTTGCAATGAGCGTTACAGAATCTCAATGTTGAAAAACGAGATGAAACAAAAAGGTTTCTAAAATATTTTTAATGAATATTGAAAATGACACTCATTTTCTATTTTCGATAGTCAATGTACATTTAGACAAACTTGAGACTACATGAGCTTAAAAGACAAAACTGAAAACAATAATTCATTATTAATTTTTGTTGTAAATGTTAAAACGCTAATAAGCTGAACTCTGTTAAAGATAAACTAGAAAATTTACCAAAAGGATGTGAACTTGACAGTGAAATTGGAAATAATTTGACATGCGCACTTTAATCACCTAGAATAAAGTATCTGTAATTTTGTAAATGTCTTAAATTGACTTTGTGACAGCCTGGTAAAATAATATGCTCAGTATTGATTATGTTTTTGTGTAGGTCAAAAAATATTATTTTAGGGAAATGTTTGAATTAAAACGTGGTTTTTATTATATACAACTTCATCGACAGGAAGACTGAAATATAAATTTAGAATGCTTTGAAATGATTTTTGAAGTGTTGGATAAATTCTGTAAAAATAACTTATTATGTAAATTATGAGATAGTGGGTTTAAATTTTTGCCTCTTTGTAATTACATCTTCTCCCTTCGCAACAAAGACAATTTGAGTTCATTTAGATCAGCCATCTATACCAGCCCTAGCTATGGACCCACGTTTGGAGGACATGACATACACATAGCAAACAACGCAAACAAAAACGCAAATTCCTAAACCAATTTAGGAAACACCTATCGTCCTCCATCTGGTTACAGCTATAGGAGTAGTAACACCAGAGCTTTTCTTGCAGGTTCATACACATTTACACCTGATGAAGTTGAAGTTTATTATTGTTTAATATTTCACGTGAACTTCACGTGACTTCCAATATTATCGTTGATTCAGTTAAATATAATGTAATAATTAAGTAATTTTTGTACGATGTAGTTACATGTCGTCCTAATTATTTCACATGTCATAATTATTTTTGTTCAACTTTTGTTTTATTTCCTTGCAATGTTAAACGAAACACTATTGTTGACGATTAAAAATGACTTTGTAACTAATTTGCATCACTAAAACATTAATTTTTGTTATTTTCAATAAACAAGCAGTGGCATGATTACAGCCTTTACGTGTAGATGAATGTTTTATCTTTTAACCATTGGACAAAAAAACATTAAAATTTTCCCAGGTTTTGTCAACAGAAGTAAGGGAATGCTCTTGAAATTATACTAAGAGAATATTTTCATAATTGGTGAAAAAAATGGAACTGCTTTGTTGTATGATAACATCAAAATGTAAAGCAACGTGCGTACACGTGGCCAAACTGTCTAACATCTGGGCGCAAAATAAAGTATATTCATAAAGATAGCACAGAATAAGAATATACAGAAGAGTCACTCGTGTCGGAGCCTTTGATGTTTTTGTCCTCGCGCATGTCGTGCCGCGCATGGCGGCCGCCATTATTCCAGCCAGATGATTAGGGTTTTTGACTTTCTCCAAGTCTTTAAAATGATCCGAAGTCATTTCTTAAGTCAAAATATACTTGAATTCATTATTAAGTATTGACGTCATGTAATTTTAATTGTTGGAAACAAGTGAGAAATCTTAATCATCTGGCTGGAATAATGGCCGACACGAGGACACGTTGTACACCTGAGTGACCCTTCTGCATAATCATTATTCTGTGAAGATAGTAAAAATAATATAGCCTACTCTGAACCTTCGCTGGCGTAAACCAAACACAACAAATAAAGTTGAAGCTATTTCCTTTAAGTCACGTAAGCAACAGATTTTAAAATGATCGTTAACAACTATCGCATTTAAATAATATTGACAATGACCGCGCGTTATGTCTATAAAAAGACTAAGAACGAGCTGCTTCAGTGGATCTGAAAGAGACAAAACCGTACTTCTTCCTGAGGCCACACGGTCTCATCTTTGTTTTCGTAATAATCATGAAACGTCAACAGACAGTTCTCTTTTCAAATCATAATCACAAATTATAGGTTGTGTAAAAGCACTTAACGGTTGCCATGTTTTACACGATAACAAAGTGGACTATTTTAACACGGCGAGAGTGACTTTCTTTCAAAGTAAATACAACCTGAACAATGAATAACAAACAGCATGAGCCATGTGAAGCTCATCACGGGAGTCACATGCTCTGAAACTCAGAGAGCATGACCTCACATCAGGTTATGAGCATATAGTTCACGTTCATGCAATCAGGTTAACAGAACGGCATGTTTGGTAGAATTGGATGGAATATATCACAATGGGTGATTTGGCTTCTACGTTAAGCGAAAAATAGTGTTCTTCAAAGATGTTCTTAACGAAAAAAAAGTTGTTTGACTAGCATGACCTCCAGATACGCCTCTAAGTATTTTAATTTAGATTCACAACAACTAGCTAAGTCAATAAAGGACAATTGCCAAATCTAAAATTAGTATGAAATCATATTAGCCAGTCATTGAAGATGCCAAGAAAGCAACCCCTCTTTCATAAAAGCGGTGATCACCCCCCTGCTCAACAAATTCCATTACGACAGTGAAAAGAAGCTCGCGACGATTCTGATTAAGATACACAGGAAGTGTGACCTAAACAGAAGTACAAAATATGTTCATTAAATTTTCAAGGACGTTATAAAATACTAGCTAACTTCAAATTAGGCTTTTTTCTAAAAGACCATTTATTGATAGTTAAAGACACTTGCCTTTGCTTGTTTGGACAGTTTATCATCGTCAGAAAATCTGGAAATCACCAAAACATCAATAATTACAACACATGTTCTCTTGAAATAAATAATTTCAAAAAGCAAATGTTTGTTTCTACCTGATCCAACTAAGACTCGTCAATGGCAGGTCAGTTGTGATAACTGTCGCAAGCTCCAAACGATTATTCACACATTTTGCTCCTTGAAGTTTCAAACCACAAAACACAAATTTGAGTCAAGAGTTCAAATTCATGCAGAATAAGCATTAACTTCTAAACTGACTTTACGCTCAATATAGTATCGCTAAATAGCATAATGTAATCTTACTTAAATACCTGTAATACCAAAACTGCAGTCATCAATATTTCTTCAACGTGATTAGTCATCTAAACTGCAACATTCAATTACTAAAGATAAATATATATAAGAGGGAGGAAAGCTCTTCCAAAGACCAGTTATTAGCTTGAGCAACATATTGTCTGGTTGCTGTTATATAGGCTTCAGGGACAAACAACCATCCAAGATGAACACGCAGGTTCTAGGTAACAAAAAGTTTTCATCAAGATCTTTTACAAATGTCGGAATTACCTTTAATAAGAAAGCTTGAACAACTTTAACGTAAAATACAAATAATTGATGGCTTTCATCGATCATTGATGTTTAAAAGTTGCAACGAACGTAAATTTAGCAACAAGTGAAGAAGTAAACAACAACAAACGTAAATTTAGCAACAAGTGAAGAAGTAAACAACAACGAACGTAAATTTAGCAACAAGTGAAGATGTAAACAACAACGAACGTAAATTTAGCAACAAGTGAAGAAGTAAACAACAACGAACGTAAATTTAGCAACAAGTGAAGATGTAAAGAACAACGAACGTAAATTTAGCAACAAGTGAAGAAGTAAACAACAACGAACGTAAATCATAAGGACATATATTGTTTTATGTGGACGTTTGTCATACCTTCAGTCCTTTATTAGATCCACTGTGTGAAACGGTAGAAATTTGTTGAAGTTGTTGTATACGGTCACTGAAATCAGCAATCCACTGAATGACAGTAAGACTTGATGGAACTGTATAACGACGCCAATTCTTGGGAAGAATAGCTAAAATATCAAACATGAAATTATAAATAGCAACAAAATACGAAAAACATAGAATTATATATTAAAAAATAGGATTCTTATGTGCTACGGAGATATTTCGTTGACAAAAATATATTCTGTGTGCACAGTTGTGAATAAAAGAGAAATTTTAGTCGTACCTTTCATCAAATCACTTATAACATTCCTTAGATAATTTGTTGGCTTTTTTACTTGCTCACAAACACCAATAACATTTTGTAGATCACTACGGACCGTTGTAAGCAATCCTATTCCAACATTTACCTGCGCAACGAAACAGAAAGATAAACAGATTACAAGCCGAATCATACTGCGGGTTTTTATACCAAAAAATTGACCAAACTGATTTAGACGATTTATTATTGTTTGAACTTGTTCACAGTTCACTTTGCAAGGAGTCTCTGATCATTCTCGTTTTAAAGTATTAACATTAAGATAATAACGATACTTTATACTAAAGATGTGATTTTTGCCGTCACAATTTACCTCGCGTTCAAAGAATCGGAATAAAGGATCTTTGATGTTTTCATTGGTTCGTTTCAAGGCAACAAGTTCCTAAATTAAGATAAAGTGCAGAATTGCTCTAAAGAAAGAACTAAATTTTGGTCAATTATTTCACTTAGGGCAGTACCGTAGCGAGCCTGATTTTTTACTCCAGCTAAGCAAAAATTTTGTGTCTACTGATATGGCGGGAGTAAATCTACAGGCAGGCTACTCTACTGGACTGGGGTAGACGCACCTCCGGTACCATTGCCAACCAATTAGTGGCTGTGCTATGTAACGATCTCATCCATGCTGGACGAGTATCATTAGAGATCAGAGACTGGTTTCTGCAAAAATAAGTGACATTTAATAGATATGGATGTTTGCTTTTTTTTGATCAAATGAGAATTGATGACTTTTTTGAAATGACGATTTCAGACAATGAAAAGATGCTTTACATGACTGCATATACTGACTTGTCTAATCCCGGAGAGTAAGCTAATTCTTCTTCATCGTCTATATTTTGCATCTTCAGAAGTTTGGTGGTAAGGGCCTGACCTAATATATATAAGAGTAAAAGAAAGATACCTTATATTAATAGGTATGTACGACATAGTGACAGTAACTAAATATGAAAGTGGCATTTTCAACCTTGAACAGTTAGCAATAATTTTTCAGCATTGTTTGGTAATCCAAGCCAGGATGGCGATTGAGAGTCTGGTAATTTTTCTGTCCATTGTACAAACTGTTCGCGTCTAAATGATAAACACAAAACTTTTATTTCAACATGGTGAAGGGACAGTAATATCGAAGTGTTTGCACACTTTGGATGGATGATATATTTTATTACAAAACACGACATGCTACCTAAGATGTGGTAAAAACGGCGTAAAAAAGGTTAGAATTTATCTATATATGGGCACATCACGCCTTTTTATGCCATTTTTGAAGGCACGTTAATGTAACATTTTTGATGGCACGTTAATGTAACATTTTTGATGGCACGTTAATGTAACATTTTTGATGGCACGCTAAACTTCGTCTTATAAAGAATGACGTAATGATCCATTCAAATGATGAAATTCAGTTTTAACATTCTTTGGTAAAGACATTTTGAATTACCGTATTCCATCTGGCATGTTCACATTTTTGCCTTTAACACCATCAGCATCCAATACCAATGGAAAATCTGATTCAAAACTACTGACCGTGAACAATCGATTAACAAAAGAAGAAAGCAAACGCTACAAAAGATATTGATATTTATTTGCATTTTACCTCCACATATTAATTATCGGCGAAAATTGAAAAACGAAGGTTTCGGAGGGGTATGATCAACGTCTACAAATTAACTCATTCAAATGTACTTATGTCTTAAACAATTAAAGACAAGGGGAGCAATGATGAAAACAGTTGAAAATGTTTGAAAACAAAAAAATCAAAGCCAGTAAGCCGTTACACAGGTCACATGATCATATCGTGTATTCACCTGATCAAATTCGTTATCGATGCGCCCTCCATATATGGCCTGAGTAAGAAGTGTCCTCAATGCATCCCATGGTACTTTGTCAGGAGATATATTTGTCCGACCCTATAAACAGTATAACAGTTTTACAATACAAATACTTTATATAAATATTTTCAAAGTCTTAACTATAAAACTGACCAATCAAATGGACAAGAGCTGCTTTAACATATGTCATAATAAAAATGAAGATAGTTCCAACTTACTTGCGATGAATTATCAAGCCACGTGTCAATGGTATCACAGGCAACTCTAAGGTCAGACTCACTGAACTCATAATGCTTGGACCAACCCAGTGGAGCATAACGTAAACGTTCTTGTACAATAGCATGTAACCATGCCAACAGAAAATACAAACGTGTTCGTTCGGTTGGCGCCTTAAATAAATATCAATGATGTAAATAACTGATATTACGTGATATTTGTAAGACAAAAGTGTAGTATTAAATAACAACTATGTTATGTACATTCATAAACAATGTACATTCTCGGTCTATCGTTATAATCCTATATTTCATGCCATGTCGTAATAAAAATGTAACATGAAGTTTTGCTAACAAAATATCTTTTGTTACAAAATATCAGTTGATCGTGCTAATATATTTTTGAAAAATGTAATTTCAGTATGCGTAATGTTTACCTACCTTGCACATGCGCGATACAGGAATAGTACTGAAAGTTCGGAAAAGGTTTGCTTTTATGCCAGGAGGAGGTTCGAATACAAAAACACGGGAAGCTCGCAATAAATTCACAGGAACCTCAATGAAAAAACCATTAAATTTTAATTAGGAAACAATGCAAACAATGCCAGAAATACAATATGATATTTCACGGGATAAAGCTGTACAATGACCACAAACAAATTATTTTTAGAAAAGAGATTTTGAAAAACAAACTAGAAACTTTCGTATACCTTAGGATTAATTTCCATAGTAAGGAAAAGACGGAAATTTGCATGAGGATTCAAAGTGTGTAGTTTCTTTTCCAATGTTACCAACCATTGTGGAGCCAAATGAACATTTTTCAACAAAACCCATCTAAAAAACAACAATGAAAAAAATCAAGCAACTCACAAATTTAACGTCAACATGAAAACAAAAAATAGCAACAAAAATCTAACACTGTTCTTCTCAATAACAAACACACAACTTAAACTTTGATGAATATCAACATGTAGATTCTCAGTAACATTTAAAGATAGTTTACATTACATTCGATGATTAAAAAAAGCACTTTTCTCTCATTACCTTCCAGATTTTACAGCAGAGTTGACAGCTTTCTCAGCAAGATTAAATCCTTCTGCAGAACCTTTTAAAGATGTTGACAAATATGAATAAAAAGACTAGCTACAAACTGATAATTTTATGCACTAATTACACACGATGTGTGACGAAATTTCAATATTTTAATAATGCAATAGAAAAGACTAGACTTGCAGGTAGGTACACTAAAACAGTAAGAAACAATGAAGGAGAGTAAAACATTACAACTAACCAATGGCTATTGTTGTGCACTGTTAAAGTAAGTAACAATCATTGAAAGTTAAAACATAACAACTAACCAATGGCTATTGCAGTGCATTGTTTATTTTGTTGGGCAACAAGATCATCAACACGACCACTTGCATCATGACCAGAAACAGAACACATCAATATTGGTGTGTTGGATTTGATCTAAAAAAGCGTTACAATAACACTGAGACCAAACAAAGTTGTGTAATTTTAGTAAAATCTAAATATGAAAAGAATTAATGCGAGAATTAACATAGGTCTAATGATTGGAAACTCTACTCCATATCATTCATACATAATACCTCTTTGTCGACAATCATGGAGAGATTGAGTTCCTGTTCTGAAGTTCGCATAAAAGCTTGTCCGAAGACTGTCTCCACAACTTTATGAACCATCGCCAAAACTCTGTCTGGTCTGAATGCCTGAATTACTAAAAGCTGATACACACAGATTCCAACGGCAGCTGGAGAAAGGTAAACACAACGTTGTACTATTAATATACTTGCTTTTGTGACTATAATAGGCTACAGTCAAAAAACATTGCTAGTGCTTTGTATCATAAAGAATTAGAAGTTTAGAGAATATTTCGTCGTCATGATATAATTTTGTTCTAAGCTGACAGCTCTACATATTATAGTGACAAAAACACAGCTTTCTATACATATGACATTAGCGTACACAGTATTGTCATATTTTATCGTTTTTATATGTGTTTTATTTTGTTGTACTTTTAACAACTGTTGTTATGATTCCTCATCTTGTATGAGTATTGTTTCCACGACTGACTGCCATGATAATAAGTTTACTTCCGGTAATTTTAAAAAACTTACAAAGTTCAACACTTGATTGCCAACAAACAGGAACATTGTTTTCCGGATTAAGACAAGTCAGCCAATCAAAGAAATCCTTGTAAAAGAAAAATTGTACGGTAGGCTTATATATATCCAACCCGACTCTCGCTTTCATATAGCAAGTTCATTAAAGCAAATGAGAAAGGAAGCGTGGGGACTGGGAGAGTTTGCGGTGTGAGTGACAGAAGATTTGGAAAACGTCATTCAACTGATATTTATGTAAAATTACAATTTCATGGCACCTCTACAAATGAACACGACACATCCACACCTTACTAATGTAAGTCAAAAATTCCAGACAGACTACTGCATAAAATATTTATAAGAACTCATCACTTGTGAAAAAATAAAAGGCTTACGTTGAAATATTTAAAAAAAAAAGAAGAAATAACTTAATACCCGATGAGACTGGACGTATCCCGAGAGATTATTGAAAGCTATTAACTGTGCCAAATGACGCATCGCTTGGCTCTAAAAATAACCAATAAAATGAAGACAAATAACGAAAACATCAAACTCACTCTCTAAACATCACAGTAAAAACCTATAAATTATTCCTTTGTATTTTTATAGAACCATAAAAAAAAGAAATACGACCACAATTTATCAAATTACTACACTTACAAGAATATATATCATACCTGCTCTGGTGATAAACCTTCAAAAGATGTAGATTTTTTGCCCAGTATAGCATCGCGACCAACAAGGAAATGAGAGAATTCTTCTTCGTATTCGCGCTCTCTACAAAATCGATTTTAATAACGTTTGAACGAGTAGGAAGCTACCAACTGAAATATTATACTTCGTTATACATCAGAATAAATATACAAACAAGTTTTTGAAAAACTAGAAAAGTTTACCCTGGCAGACCACGAAGATATATACGACAAAGTAACAAGGAAAAAGAAAGACGATCATCGTGAAGCATACCACGCGAAACACGGTTATAAACAATCTTTAAAAGAACGAAACAAAATGATCAAATGTAGAACGAATTTACGGTAAAAGATAATTGTAACATTATTTTGTTGATATCGATAAAATACCTGAAATACATCTGTGGTAATGACATTTAACCGGCACGTACTGTCTTTAAGATTGTTCAAGTTTTGATTTCCATGTAAAACACTTAGATACATATCCAAAAAGAAATGCAGAGAATATTGATACAAGAAATGGACCTATAGACAGGACAAATAGATAAAAATAGATTAGAGAAATATAGGAATATACACCCACTAATAAATGAACAAAACACACTCGTTCGTCCCATTGCATGCAACTTCAAAAACAGCAAGGACAAAACCTTTTCTACATTTTAACTTACAAGATTAAGCGATTCCATCGTAAAATATATACTACTGCAGGATTGAGCCAATGGTCTGTACTGGTCAGTGACGGCCTCAACTTCTGCCATAACTACATCAGTTTCTTCAACTTTCTTAGTGATGTCAGCAGCTTCCTTTTTCAGTTTCTCCAGAGTTCCAATTATACTATGAAAAAGTTTATTAATACTCTGTAGTCGAAGTAAATATGTTGACAATAATCGATAACACACAAATAATCTTCTCTATACCTATCATCATCAAGAATTCTTCCTTTCACATCATTAAGAGCTTGCAGTAACGACTTCTCTAGATGCCTTAAGCGGAGATGAAATTCTCCTACAAAATAAAATTTTATAAATCAGTCCAAGCGCTTCCATCCAATGACATCGATGATAAGACAAGACAAAGAAGAAATTATGAAAGCAACTAAATATTTAATCACTCTGTTTAACTGAAATCATGCAGAATATTGAAGTTATCGAGATCATTTTGCTTCACGTATTTCAAAGCACAACAACGTTCAATATGATTCAGTTATAAACTTATTAACGTGATGCAAAAAACAATTCAGTAAAAGAGCTACCAGATTAAGTATTGAAGTCAAACAAACAAATTCTAACGTTAATCGATCAAAATTCTATTGCTCAGAAGTAAAAAATGCAATGTGTTAATACAAAGCTCCATCACCTTGAAGTTTAAGCAAATCTGAACGCTTAGTATCAACATCTGGTCTTTCTGCTTTAAGAGCGTAGTTCAAACACTGCGCTTGTAAACTGCTTCGTGTTACGGTGAAGTTAACAAATGTGACTCGTGAACATAAATCTGGAGGGAATTCAACCTAAAACATACACAACATAAACATATGTAAGTTCAGATGAATGATATTTACGAAAATGTTTTCCTTTCTTCACTTACAGTCGGATCTCTTGTTGACATAAATATTGTAAACGAAGGAGACAAATCAATATCTTGATCACCCAACGTTATCAAGACACGACCACCAGTCCGTCTGACCTCACGATTTAACACTGGATTAACAATTGGATCATAGTTTTCAACGTCCTAAAGAGAAAGAAACTTGAAGCTAAACAAAATACTGTCGTTATAGAATAATACAACTCCCTTTAGAAATGATCTACGGTCTTCAAAATTACATTTGATATTGGAATCTTAGCTTCATTAAAAGGATTACGTTCCCTTTGTGTATCATGAAAGAAATTTTTCGGGTAAATGGACTTAAAGAAGGCTGAGCAAATATCAAACCTGTACTAAAAGTGGATTTCCAAATCGTAATGCACTTTCAAGATTCTTGCGGAAGGCATCATCAAGGAAACTAAAAAGATTGTTACATTATCAAGAAATTCTTGATGAACATGCAGTGAACATTACAAATTTGATATACGGCTGCAAAATGTTACCTTGTTTTTGTAATTCTACGTCCCTTGTATTCATTCATGATAAATTCAGTGGCTTGACCCGATGGATCAATAATCAAGGGATATCTATTGAATCGCTTTAACATGATGGCATTTTCAGTGCAAAGATCATCAGTAGGAAGTGAATTAGCTTGCCATGCTAGTCGATCATCAGCAGTTGACAGGTACTAGAATGAAAACCAAAAGCTTTAACATAACTTGTATAACATAAGTTATTAAATGGTGATTAAATTCAGGAATAGTCATTCAAATTTACTCAAGTGTAGTAACTCTAAAGAAAGGAGATGAAACATGACACCCCCTTTACATCAGGAATATTTTCTAGATTTTCCGCTCTCCTAAAAGTTCTGAAACTACTGAGGTAAAACAATCAACAAAGAAAAGCCAAGTTCTTCCACTGTAACAGACATCTCTTTAAATAGTTTGTATGTTACATAGATCCACATAGGGTATATAAGGATACGATATTTAAAAAACCCTAATGAGTTCCTATAATATCCACCTCAGTCCTAGCAAGATCATGGCGAAACTCCAAACCAGCTTGTTGAAGATGGTGACTCCAAGTTGTGAACAAATTTTGACGAAGCTGCTGATCGAAATATCCTGCAAGTTACTCATATAAATTATTATTGCAGCAAACCATTGCTTTAATATGACAAATAAACATAAATTACCTGCATAAGCCAAAAATGCTGACGATAGCATTACATCACCGACAATGGTTCCCATTTGAGCTTGAAAAGCGTTGCTTGTGTCTTGCCAACGACTGCGTTCATCAGACAAACTCCTTAATAATGCCACGCTTCTGTTTACTTTTGCTTCAACAGCCGTCATCTCGGTCTTTATCGCTTGTGCTTCACTAATCAAGGCAGCATATTCTTCTTTGTATTGCGCTATGCTTTTCTCCAGACCAGTAATAACTTTAGCAATTTCAGCAGCCTAGTCAAGTTAAACATAATGGTAACATTACACTTTCTATTCACATGATTAAACAGAAATACAACGACGTATAGCTTTTAACAAAAGTAAAGGCGATTTCAACTGACTTGTACAGAAATTTAAAAAGATTGTAAGCGGTGAGACTGAGCTACTTTATTCAACAACTTCGTATTCATTAAATTTCTATCATTGTGTATAAACACAACTCGTTGCCCCGCTTTATTTTGTCAAAGTCATATTTCATAGAGATATTTTTACCTTAGCTTCAGCAGCACTTGCTTCAGTTTCTAAACTCTTTAGTTCATAGCGTAAAGGTTCTATTTTCAACAACATATCAGCATATTTCACCTTCAATGTAAAAAAATCATTAATTGAAGATAATCACACGAACAAATGCTTTATATATATATTCACATTACTTTTGACTGCAATTTAATGTGAATATACAATACTAAACATGATTATCTGAACTATTGTAGCTTATATCATGTATTTTACAAAATGAATGAAGTTAATCGCAAGACAGTGAAGTTTTCAAATCAAAACATCAAAACAATATATTTTTTAAACAAAACAGTATATTTTATAAACATCAAAATAGTATATTTTATCATCAAAACAGTATATTTTATAAAGATGTTTAAATACACATTGTCCATAGATCTTTCTTTCTACCACAATGAGAAAAAATTAATAAACATCAAAACAGTATATTTTATCATCAAAACAGTATATTTTATAAAGATGTTTAATGTACATTGTCCATAGATCTTTCTTTCTACCACAATGAGAAAAAATTAAGCAAGATATGTATATACCTGTGCAATGGCCCATTTCACTAACGGACCACAAGCTTGACTTGCACGATTGACTTTATCAAAGTTGTAGTCTGGCTGAGACATGTACTTGTTCAACATTTGAGCGCGAACTTCTTCACTACAGTAACATAGAACACAATACGTAAAACACAAATCAAAGAGGAAAAGAGTTTACGAGACAGCAAAAATGAAAGATATTTCAAAGAAAGATGTCATGTTCTCACTACTCTACAGTAACAGTAAACAACTGGGGTGTATATCGTTATCACTGTGAACTGTCGAAATACTTCAAAACCCGTTTGTTACCACATTAACTCTGTGTTCATTTTAAAGATGTAAAAGAGAAAATTCATGTAACCATTCAGCTAACGTCTGAACAAATAGGTGATAGTTGTCACATTAACTGTTGGTAAATTTATGTGGCACAATGCAGTTGTAGAACAAGGAATGACGTACGTAACATCCTTGCACATATCAGATTTGTGCGTAGCTAACAATCATTATATAAAGAATTATAACAATAAAACATCACACTTTAATTTCAAAGCAGGGCAATAATTACCTGATATTTTCTGTTTGGAAAGTAACAATGGTTGGAATAAAATTATCTCTCATGATGATACTGCGAATGGCCCTCCAATCAGCTGCCTGTTCACCCAGTAGTAAACATATAGACTCTAAAGCAACTTTAACTGCTTGAGGTGGATTGGCCATTGAACGCACTTCAACCAAATGTTGCTTTTTAATTGATTTTACGGCTATATATAAAAAAAATTTGAAGAGCAAAAGAAATATGATCAAAATAACTTCTCTAAAAACGCAATGTTAAGAAATGGGATTATGCATAAAGCAACACATCTTGAGATTGCAAAATATGCATCAAAACAAGACGAGAATGAACTGTATATTTTCGACTTTATTTCAAAGTCATCCTCAGACAGAATAATGAGATTATGCATAGAATGTGAAATAATACAGTGATTAACTTTTCTTTGTTTATATTAAAGCAGGACAAAGATAGCTTAGATAAAAATGCAACTTTAGCGAAGACAAAAACGCCACATATCACGTGACTTGTTTGCTTAACCACTAAATTTAACATAGACAGTTGACATCCACAAACATTACCTTGTTTAGCGTCTTGTACTGCAGGCTCAACCTGCGCTAAATCGTCCATAACAAGTGCTTTCTTTTCTTTAATCTTCACTGTTTGTTGCTGTAGACGGTTTATCACATTTTTCATCAACATATTGTTTTAAAAAGTTGATATAAACGTTTAAACATACCGCAATAGCCGCCTGAAGTTCTGTCGAAGTCACTCTTTTTTTCTCTGCCTCCTGTTGATCTTTTAACTAAACATGTGGCATGAAAGTCATAATCAAGAAATAATGAAACAAGATATATTAAATTACAAAAGATTGCAACATAAAACAACAATAGAATTGATTCATTAGAACAAGATTAGTCGTAAAAATATAACAAAGAACACATAATGTAATACATAATGGAACTTGTCGTAGAAACCGAAGTGGACCGGGGATACGATAGTTGTACTACATTCTCCGATTACTACGTAGGTTAAAATTCAGGGCAAATTATTTATTGGTAAATCTTACTACAGCTACAATGACAGGTTGCTGACTTAACTTATGTTGCTCGAAACTGCACTTTTTTCTAAAATGTATGTTATTCTCATTCAAAAATCATTTAATCAAGAGATAAATTGAGAAGATTACAGCAAGAGTGAAGTTGAATAAACAGACACAAAAGCCGATTAACGAAAAATATACAGGTACAAAAGGGGATAAATGGTAAAAAACCACACAAGGTTGTTAACGAACAAAAAGGGAAACAAACGAACAAACGTACCATCTGTTTCAGTTTTTGATTAGCTAATGCATTCTTTGCTTCCAATTCTTGACTCTTCATAGATAAGCTTTTTTGAAGTTCTTCGACCTAAACACAAAATAAACATAAAACAAAGGAAGAGCATTCATGTATTTATTTATACAATCAACATACGTACCTGCTCAACAGTTTCTTTTATTTTGTCAAACCAACATTTAAATGAAGTTGTTGCTCTTCCAAATCTGATCGTTTCTCGTTGTACAGTTTACCTTTAAAAGATTTAGGAAAATAATGAACGCGCACGGGGCGTGACTGTTTTGAACACGCGTGACGTGACTGTTTTGAACACGCATGGCGTGACTGTTTTGAATACGCGTGACGTGACTGTTTTGAGTACGCGTGACGTGACTGTTTTGAACACGCATGGCTGTTTTGAACACGCATGGCGTGACTGTTTTGAACACGCGTGGCGTGACTAAGCCAATTCGATAATTGAGGTGTAGAGGGTGATATTCATAAAGCATGTTTCCCCTCTTAAACACATGATTACATGAATATTTCCTCCTCTCGACTATCAAAATTACTACGTCACTGACTGTATAGCATTCGTTTGAGGATGTTTACATTGAGACAACAATGTTTTAGATTAAATTTAAAGTTCCAAAACTTACGTAGTGATTTATAAAATCCAGGTAATGTCTAGGAGTTATTGCCATACAACGTCCTCCGCGTTTAGCAAGACGAGCATTTGCTTGATGTAAAGTTTGATGTACAAATACAAAAGCGTTGATAACTGCCTCACGGTGAGTAGGTGGGATCGATAATCCTTCATAAACAACAGGAATGTAGTCTGGAGCACGATACTAAATGATGAAAAAATAAACAAATAATTTTACCAAGTACTTATATGAAACATAAGTCAATATAACAAAACTTTACCAATGAATTGTCTAAATCAATCTTGCTCGTAAATTCTTTACCAACTTGATAGAGTGCACCAGTCGACCAATCACCAAACCAATTCAATACGCATCTGTATGGTTAATACAAAGTTCGTTGTAACATAAAGCTAACTAAGGCCCACTTTCAAACTTTACATATGTCGAATGCATTAAAGAAAAAAACTGAGATAAATTACATTCAAAACGGACGTAACATGTGCAAAAGCCTTATCCTTCCATTGACTGAATTTTTATCAATTAACAGACGTTTACCTGTTAAACAATGCAGGTGAAGTGGCGGCTCTGTCTTTCAGTCCTTCAGAAGATGGATTCATTGTAAAACGACGTGAAGATTTCTTATTACCTGCAAATAAACAATTCCCACTAATAAACATTGCTTATGAAAGATAATAAATGTTCTGGTATTTCCTTTACATTAACTTTTTTTAATTTTTGTTTCTATATACAATATTTATAGCTACATTATAATACAAACAAAATAATCAGAATTTGTCATATAATAATATCCTATTAAAAAAAAGCATGTTTCAGGGTGAAATAAACAGCAATTTTACCCATGTGTGTGTTAAAAAAATGTGTAAATAGACACAGTTTAACTACAGGTTTGTCGTAAAAATATCGTAATATTAATTTTACATTATCGTATGAATGTAAATGAAACCTGCTCAGTAAACCATTTGTATAACTCTTCACTTGAGTCCAACATTAGACCATCTCGTTGTGATCCTTCTTTGCATTGTGTCATTAACGTTGTATACTCATCCCCTTCAAACAACCCAGGTACCTAAAAATATATCACAGTAAATCCCCTTCAAACATCTAAGGTACCTAAAAATATATCAATGTAAATCCCAGGTTGTCCCCAACGACGAGAAAAACTTTTTTACATGTTTGTCACATTGGTTGCATAGCAAAAGATAACATGATTTTCGGCGTAAATTATCTTCATCGATACATTTTTACTTGTTCATTCACAAGGTAAAATGCTTTGTTGCAATGAAAAACATGCAAAACTCACTTCTCCATTGGCCAATAAAGTATTCATTCTTTCAATGAAAAACATGCAAAACTCACTTCTCCATTGGCCAATAAAGTATTCATTCTTTCAATGAAAAACATGCAAAACTCACTTCTCCATTGGCCAATAAAGTATTCATTCTTTCAATGAAAACATGCAAACTCACTTCTCCATTGGCCAATAAAGTATTCATTCTTTCAATGAAAAACATGCAAAACTCACTTCTCCATTGGCCAATAAAGTATTCATTCTTTCAATGAAAAACATGCAAAACTCACTTCTCCATTGGCCAATAAAGTATTCATTCTTTCAATGAAAAACATGCAAAACTCACTTCTCCATTGGCCAATAAAGTATTCATTCTTTCAATGAGAAAACATGCAAAACTCACTTCTCCATTGGCCAATAAAGTATTCATTCTTTCCAGAAAACTGGACTCTAGCATGTTAGATTCGTCCAATATGAAACGATTTTTCATTTTACAACCAGAGCGGCGCAGCATTTCGCAAATCTTCATCAAATTCAACATACGTGTATTTACGGTGAATCTAATGAATGAAATCATGAAGTGATAAATGTTCACGTTTATCTGACAATGTGACATAAGAATTATGAGAAGGGAGTATAACAGTATGCTTACCTTTATCTGGAATACACTCAAGCCATTCATCCAAGCGACAAACCGAGAAAGTGTTGTTTTTCCTGCTCCGCTGACACCAATCAACAGCAGATGACCCTAATTATCCACATCAAATTGTTTAAGATGACCTAATTATCCACATCAAATTGTTTAAGGTAAACGCTAACCTACATCCTTGAGGGTAAAACAACACAATAAACAGCGTTGAAAGTCTTTATTATTTACAACATTGAAAAAATCCCAACAAACTTAGGAGTGTATAAGGATCAACTTTATTCAAGACCTTAAAATTTAACTAAATATTTGATTTTCACTGAACTCACTTGAGGTTGCTTGAAAATTCTGTCGATTCTCAAAACATGATCAAGAACTTCATTAAATAACACCAAAGGAACATCTAACTCTTCTTCATAGAAAACCTTGAAACCAGGTATAATATAAGCAAACAAAATCTACCAAAGTAATATCAACCATTATTTTTGGTGACAAGATGTACCTTCAAACGAGCTTTAACGAAATCTCTCAATTCTTCTTGATCAACAGGGTGTAGTCTTTGTCAACCAATTGCTGTACAATATTGGTCTCTTGAGAGCATTTTCATGGTCGATGGCAGGAAAATGTTTCTTGGCGACAGAATTAATGTTTTCCTCTGTCCATTTACGTTCATCGTCAGTCACCAGTCTAAAATAGATCGATTGTATTGAGGATTGAATGCAGGAACACAATCCACAGTCAACAAAGTCGTGTTAAGTCAATTATCATATGAAAAATCAAACAATCAAAGAAATCAAACAGTCAACAAACACTAAATCGCTCAAAGTTAGCAGAACGTCTCGTGTAAAGTCAACAAAATAGGAATAAACAACGTGACGTAAAACAGTACAAATAAATCAGACTCAGTAAATTCGCCTTTGTCTATTTGATGTGGAAATGAACTACCTGTCTTGGAAAAGACGCAACGCTTCATGAGCCCACAATCTCACCAATCCTTCCACTGACAAAGTTTCCAGCGGTCTTAATGCTTCGACAATACCACGTACCCAACGAGTCATTTCACGAGGACTGTAGATATAGTGAGGTTGCATATCTTGAGTGAAACGTTCCTGTAATGAATATAATTTAGGACAAACATTCAATCATTCGACTTTCCTTTAAAAAATGCAAGTAGGAAAAATATTCTATAGGACCAAACACATTGTTTAGAAATATCAAGTCATGCTTTTGGTGCACATAACAAAGCTAACAAACGTTAACAAAATGACTTTCATATTTCCTTGTAACATCGCTTTGTAATGGATTTTTATTTCTGGGGCCGGTTTCACGATGACTGGATAGCGTTATCCATTGGATAGTAAAATTTTCAAACTTGTAAGAAAGTGTTTATATTTTCCTTACGGCATACAAATTTTTGTAATCTTGGAAGCAATATTTTCTTTTAGTGAATGCTCATTTCAAATCCTATATTTTTCTCGTTTTTTTTAACGTTCAAAAAAATTTGCTATCCAGTGGATAGCCCTATTCTGCCTTCGTGCAACCGTCCCAGGTCGAAATGAGAATCTTAATCATTTAGCAAAGAAAATACTGCTAATTCAACAATACAAGAACTGTTTTCAAAGTAAGAACGATCACTGATCACTGAAACATAAGAAGTATTTGCAGAACTCTCTACATGTAAATATTTCCTTAATTCTCATATCGTTATAGTCATGTAACACCTTGAAAATTATTCCTATCTCTTTCATCACATTAGTACCTGAGACATTGTATAAAACTCCACCATGGCATCAGTCAACTGTTGAGCAGAGCTTCTTAGTGAGGGGATCAACCTCAACATGGCTCGATTAAAGGTTCCGTATATCTGCGTTAAAGAAACTGCACCAGGATAGTCGACATACACAACAGGCACGTGACGTAAAAATCTACAAGATATAAAACGTGTTGAGCACGTGACATACAGCGAATGGTTATTATGGAAACGTTGAAAATCTCGTTAAAATAACATCTTATGGGTCACCTGTGTGTGAGTGGCTTTCTTCCTGGATCCGTAGGAGGATTACATGCTCCAACAAACTGAATTCTTTCTAACCTCACCCAAGATTGATCAGATGAGCGATAGAAACCATTGTGCTCAACCATTTGACGCAAGAATGAAATAACTCTCTGGGTACCTGGTAAAACATTCCATGTGAATGCTTATAGATCAGTTTTACAGTATGGTACATGATGATAATAACTATAGGAAATATTCTGATAAAAATACGTTCTTGCTGCAATATAGTTGGCGATAACATGCTGTTTAATATCAACAAATGACGTCTGCATATTCTAAGAGAAAGTCAAAATGTCGAGGGTTTTCTTAAATCGCCAAACAAATTTGAAGGAGTAACAACGTAAGATTATAGACCATTTAACACTTTCCTAAAGTAGCGCTTGAGTACTAGATTGCCGCTACATTTGCAAGAACTTAAGAGAAGATTTTATCTACTAGAACAAATCACACGATTCATATTCAATACCAAACACATTAATACTATGATTATCCTTATAATATCATAATTATCCTTATCATACCATAATTATCCATGTCATACCATAATTATCCTTATCATACCATAATTATCCATGTCAGGTAAGTTGATTTCATCACAAAACAGAACTAGCCATTTTCCAAGTTGTACGGGCGCCATCACAACTCCATTTGGAGTTCGTCTGTATTCACAGTAGTGATCAAAAGTCTTGAGTAGCAATTCGGGTGTTGTAGCACTCGAAAAATTTAGACCAACAACCTACATAAAAAATCATGCGTCATTTTTATTTATAAGTAAAAATTGACAACACTAAGGTTTTACAATGATAACATTTAACGGGCCAAGCCATTAGTATCGTCTTAATTTCTAATCGCAAACTACAAGCGCAAAGCAAACTAGAATTATCTAACATCCCTTCAAAGTGAACACTATGATATCTGAAGAACTACTGATTTGAACTTTCGCCACTCATCAAAATAGTTTAAAAAAGATTAAATTAATTGACTGAAGTAAAGACGAAAACAAATAAAGCAAAACAGAAAGAAAACGTATATATAATAAAAAGTATAAATTTACAACATCGACTAACCTCCATATCAGGCAAAGATCGAAGTGAACAGAACAATGTCATTGTTTTCCACTTCCAGGAGGCCCACAAAGGACTAGCGGTTTGTGTTCAGCTAGCCACGTGTACAGCAATACTTCATGACGGACAGTATCCACAGTCGGAATGACAACATCGGAGCTGCCACTTTGTGAGTCTCAATTTCAACATTGGGAACTTTACCTTGCCAAGGAACCCACTCACCTTGAATGGTCACCTAAATAAGTGGAAGGTTTTAATATAATTTTAAAACGCATGATTTACGTGTTAAAAAGTAAATATAGGAGTCAGAGAATTTCTTGAAGCAATGCGATGATCGCTCATAGGCGTACAGGACGGGGGGCAGATCCCCCTCAAAGTTTGAAGATTGAAAGGTTGGGCAAATTTTTAACGTTAATCAGGCAGAAACCTTCAGTGTGCGTTAGAAAATATTTGTTGCCCTCCAGAAATGATAGCAGACGTACGCGTATACCGGAGCGCTAGAAATTGCACGTGTCAACTGTTATTCAAAATGCGATATTGAGTAGTATTGATTGATATCAACTATTTACTTTCCGTCTGAATCATAGTGAATAAGTATAACAACACACGACCTTTTGTAAAGTTTCAGCTTTGAAAACATGTACGCATTTTTGTACAAAACAAATCATTGATAAATAAAAAGAAAAAGTATGTTTACTTCGTAATCAATAAGAGGCATGACGGATGTGTTTGGAAGCGGTATCGTAGTTATCTTTTGCAGCATTTTACCAAGTTCTTCTCGATACTTCATTTTGGAATCACCAGAAAAAGACCACAATAAACTGTAAACTAGATAGCGAGGTAGATATTTTTCTAGTTGATCACGCTGAAAAAGAAATTAATGTCGCTTTTAATGAACTAAAATATTATAATTTGTGTAACTTCATATTAGTTAAAATCTTCCATCAATGATACTATACCTCCATTGGGAAATCAGAGTGTTGTTGATTATACGCAATTACATTGCGAACAGCTTGTTTAAACATCGAGAATAACGAACCCAAGGCCCTCAATCGAGTGAAGTCCATTATATGTTCTTGGTTTATTGCAAATTCCAAACATTTCATCACCAAACCACCAGACGTAAAGAATTCAGAGACGATATTCACGGCATCATTTTGAACCTAAGAAAACGTCATAAAAACAGATCAAAAAAAAACTTGAAGAAAATTTTTTTGTAAATTTATTACTCTTTGAATGCACTAAAAATATACAACAATCAACTTGTATACCAATAAAACAAAAAAATAAAACTTTTCACTGGTAAAAAGTTAAGTTCTGTCGTTTTATTAAAATTTGTGTGCAAAATAGCAAAAATTTATTCTGCTAAATTTCTATTTTCTAGGCACTCGAGTATTAAAAAAGGGAAAAACACCTTAATCCACACATCAAAGACAAAACTAAACATAAAAAACATTATGATAAACGCTGTTAAACGAGCCTGCATAGCTGGAGACAACACGTTTTCTTCGGTTTTTCTGCTCTGTTTTCTCAAAGTGATGTCCTCTTCGATCTCCTCTATTGGCTTGGCCTTCAACTCACTCAGGAAATTATCAAAAATCATTTCTGTTGATACAATATCTTCACTAAACCACACCATTCCACATCGACTGACAGTTGCCAATGTAGCGTAACGCAAGTCTTGCACTTCAAACATTATACGTACCTATAAACAACGAAAAAACTCGAGATAAACAGATTCCAGAATCTTCATTAAGACATCAACAAAAGTTTTGGAAAAAGTTCAAAGTTTCACTCTTCACTCAACGTAATTTGAAGAAAATACACAAAGGGGGCGCTCTATAAATACGGGCAATAGTAGCTAAATTAAGAAACAATAAAAATATTAAAATATTTTCATATTAAAATATTTCCTTTGCTTGAAAAATTTTCTTACAGTAGTATACTTAAGCTATCGAAAAAAAAGGTACAAATCATTCAAATACGAGAATAAAAAAACCCAGTGAAGCCAGCCCACAACATTTAAACGTAAACCATGCCATGAATAAAAAGCAGATAAGATAAACTTACATTCCGTGGAATTCCCAATCTTTCACCGTTAGGCAGAGTTAAACGTTTATTGTCATCAAGAACACTGTTTAGATTTTCCACCCATTCAGGGTCAACATCGCCATCAAATATGATCCACTGACGTTTGCTCAATTCACCACGAACATTATCTATGATCCTTAAAATGAGACAACATAACATCATTTATTTTATACATTTTTACTTTTTTTACAATGATTTTGCTTACTTTCTTAACAGATGTGTGAATAAGCCATCACTCCATTCTCGAGTGTTGGGATCAAGTGTACCATAAAGTTCATCTTTAGACATGGCCTAGAAGCATAACAATACGGAGTTTATAATTCTATACAAACATACATTAACGATACAATACATTAAACTACTCAAGAATACTACATATGACAGTTTCACAACAATAAAACATATTATGCATACTTCAACAGGACAATCATGAGCGCTCATTCACTTACAAGGTGAACTTGTTGACCAACTAGTTTTAAATTCAAATCAATTGTTTAATATTTAAGAAGGAGAGCGTTGTAAAGATTCAACAAAACGACAATACTGCACATCCACAATAATAAAATTCAATTCTTTTAATTTGTCTACATCTGTCTCAACATTTGTCTGGTAGATGATAAAAAGCCAAGCAAGATACACAACATCAAATTAAAACATTTCCAATTTTCGGGAGAAGATTTCAACTTACCTTGGGATCAATGACATGGGCAACACCTTCAACACCTTCCAATCTTTCTAAAGCTTTAAGAAGAACTCGCCATGCCGTACTCTTCCCACTACCACTTGGCCCAACCATCATTAAACCATGGTGAATCAAACTTATCTGATATAACTGTAGTATCTACGTAAAAAAAAACAAAGGTAGAATATAGGACATACGTCTTCAATAATGACAACAATGAAGACATCAGAATACTATTACAGCGGATAGTTGTTTTATCTTTTTATGTCCAGCGGTGTTCATTGCAGACGCAACTAATAAATATACTTTATTTAGTACATTATAAAACTATGTAGTTACAATCCTTACCTTATCCACCCATGCGGTTCCTTCATCCTCACCGTCACCAAAAGTGAGAAACATTTCAGCACAAACTTTCTTAATTTCTTCTTTCAAATTAGTCATTTCAACGCCCATATACTTAACTCCAGGGAAGACATCAGACAACAAACTATGCAACAAAGGAATGTCTTCAGCAACCAATTTGGGAACCACAGTTTCAAAAACACTTTGAATAAGGATCTGGAAGAAATTTACAAGACAAAAAATTAAAAAATCCTGGTAATTAAAGACGTGCATAGTGTAGTCCTAAAAACTACGCAAATTTTCATTTGAAACACCAGAGTGAAAGATAATCGCAAAAAACTTCAATTTTAGCAATATCCTTCAAGTAAAATAAAACCCCCCAATAATATAGATAACCATTACATAACATTCACTTACCTGCTGTTCATCTAATCCTTCGGATATTGAAGCTTCATCAACAGCTTCACCTTTGGCCTTAAGTTCTTCTTTAACTTTTGATATTTTGTCTCGTTTCACATTACCGGCACTGATCAATACACTCTTCAACGCACGAAGACCAAAATCGTAATGAGATTGATTTGAAAGTTGCTCCAAACAAAGCCTGAATATAAAACAAATTATGTGACTTAGTTTATCAAAACCAACCGCATAATTCATTAACAATTCATGTAGGCAATTCTTAGAATACCAACCAAGCAGACCTGGGTAAGTTTATTTAATTATTCATTGACATCAGTCAAACAATCGTCAAATACACTTACTTGAAGAACGGTACAATCTTGCTAGCCAATTTTTCAGCCATCCTAAATCCTTGTGAATAAAGCATAACTTGTGCAATAAGCTGCCTGTCAGGACTAGTCATTGCCAGACTACGGAATAATTTCTTCAAGTTATCAGGTAGATTAGATCGTCCTGCATAACCTGGATTCATTGTCACAAAGATGGCCATATCACGACTCACTTTCACTTGTTTGCTCACCAATTCAATAGAAATATGAGAATCTAAAAAAAAATAGTATTTTATATACCGAAACACAACTTCCAAAAAACAAGTCATCTTGAGATAGCAAAATACAAGACGCAAAATAAAACTGTAGATAAAGTCGAAAATTTACAGGGTTTTTTTGCATCTTGTATTGATACATATTTTGCTATCTCAAGATGACTTATTTTATTCGCAATTTGTTTTTTGCTCTACTTTTTAAAACTGTCGACTGGAAATGTTTTTTTTTATAGTCTTTTATGTACCCAGATTTTATTTATCTGTAAAATGTAACTGCGCATGTTCATACATTAACTATCAAATTTCAAATTTTCACAAATTTAGTGGACATACCATCACTGTTACTGTGCTCTTTTAAAGCTTCTTGTATTGTTTGAATTTGCTGCGAGACAGCCGACAACATTCTTTCTTCCAGACGATTAAATTCATCAAAACAGCCCCATGCACCAACTTGACAGAGACCAACAAATATACGACCCATTGCCTATATTTTGCAAAAACAAATTCAAAAAAATTAGCCAGAAAAACTGCAAGACTTAAGTCTACCTTGAACGACTTAAATGTAGTAATTTCATTTTTCATAACTTAAGAAACTTAACCTGAAAGTCGAAAGTTTCATCGCAGTTGAACACAAGAACAAATCTTCCCAGTTGATGACCAAGGGCTTTGACAGACTCTGTCTTTCCAGTACCAGCAGGTCCTTTGAAATAACAACAGATTATTCAATCAAAAAATAGCTAGACATCATTAAAATGTTTGAAAGATGAAAGGCCATTTCTAAGAATACTCACCAAATGGCGATCCACCAAGGCGTCCTTCTAAAGCTTGAGTCATGGTTAGATAACAACGATCAGTCAGGGGGGTCTGTACAAGTTTATCTTGAACACCAAGATACTCAAAACCATAATTGAATTTAGCATTGGCCATTTGAATCGAAAGTTGTTTTAGTACATCTTTTTGATTTGGATCAAAGTAAAATCTCATCTCTTTCAACCAATCAAATGCTTTCGCTCCCAGAGTTTTATTGTTGATCAGATTACGTGTGACGTCACGTTGGTGGACAAGTTCAGTAATCTAAAAATTAAATATTTGCACGTGTATCGAGCGTGTTTTTCGCTACGTAAAAGATATTTTAGTTAACAATCAATAACAAACTTCAAGTCCTGATGTTAAAACTTAAACATACTACGTTTTAAAACATCAGTTTACTCACCAAATGTTCTAATTTACGCCTTCTTACAGCTGGCTGTTCGTGAAGTACAGAGTCAGCTAGGACATTCAATGACGCCTCAACAATCCTCAATACTTGCTGTACAGCGGCGACATCACCCTTCTGAAGCGCAGCTTCTGTGTACTGGGACCAAGATACTTGACATGCAAGAACAACCAGTTGAGCCTGTACAGAAAAACCATAATTACACATTAAATACTTAACAAATAGATAACATTTAACCGTTGTCTATACAGTTATAGATACCTGGTATTTGTCAACCCATTCAAGATATTTTTGAGCGTCAATATTTTCAGATTGAAATTGACTGACATCTTTCATTGCTTCAGCCAAAAGACTGGCCAAGGTAACTCTCATTTCTTTCTCGACACACGTCAACCATTCGTTCACTTTAGGATGTTCTTTCAACGAGACGGGTGTTTTAAATGAAACCTATTGAGAGGAAATTAATTAGTAGTCTCTCGTTGTTTAATTGCATGAACAACATGAAAAAAATTCTTCTCGTCATTAAAAACAAGACAATAGTTGTGGTTATGAAACATCCATCGTTCTTAGATGTAGTAAATATATAAATACGTGTGAAGAAAATCGGAAAGCTACGTCGGAAAGTTACGTATTTCAACGTACTTCTTCGCCTTCTTTCGATGAAATTCCTGATATGATTTGATCTTCTTCATTAAGGATGATACTTGTGACGCCTGCAAACATCTTCTTGAAATGTTTCTGAAGTTTGGGAATACTTTTGCTGTTGCCGATAATCTCCAAAAGATCTTCATCACCAACGAAATAAAACCTAGGAAATTTTCAATAAGACATGTAAGTGTTCTCAGAAGACTATCTTAACCATTTAAGAAGTGCTTTTACTTTCTAGCATAGTATTTGTAGAAAAAAGAAAAGCCTCAAGTACAAAGACCAAAGTACAGTCAACCCATGTGCTACCTTTCTCAGAAAGCAGATTAAAAAAACCCGACACAAAGTCCTGTTGCGTGTCATGACTAGTTCGATAAAAGATTTTTAGAAGAATACTATTCTACTGAATTACTTTTCATACTATTTAATTCACAACTCCATGAGCCACATTAAAATATTTGAAAGTTTTATCATGTACCTTGGAAAGGAGGCTCGTTCACGTTCTAAATATTCACCCAAAGCTTTTTGAATCTTTCCTAAAAGATCAGCAAGTCGTTCCAACTGACGCTGTACTCCTTGGATATTTACAACATCCATAACCAAGGGCGATTTTGATACTTTCTTCATCAACGTCAAAAATTCCGTACTAATACTATACAATCAATAAAGTAAAAACAATCATTTATACTGTGAAAATAAATATAAACAAATGATTTCATTTCACAAATGTAACATAAATAATAATAATGGTTTATAAGGTTTTGCACGATGCTTCAACGCACATGTCTATTAACTTATGATTGTCGTCAGATGCTTGAGTTTCTGGCGATACACGAAGACATTAAAATATTTTCATATTTACATGACCAAATCCTTGGAATCCCATTATATTTCAATTTTTTTAAACTAATAAAACAATGAGGTGTTCTTTCTATCTTACACGGATGGTGAAAATAAGAATTTTTTTCCAAATCCTTAAAAATTGTTATCCTCAAGTTACTAATTTGTCAACGACATTAACAAACATAGATTTTCCTTCAGTAATGTAACTCAAAACAATGAAAATATAAATATGTTTTCTAAATTTCTATATTCCGTCCCAAAGACTGCTTAACCATAAATCTCCCTTAAATTATTTTCTTCGTACCTTGAAAATCTCTGTGTCTCTACAGGTAACAATGTCTTGATATCAGCACTTCCACTAAAAATACCATCAAGATAGACCCAACGACGTTGAACATCAATCCATACATCGAACGTATCATGAATACGATTCAGTTTCTCCTCCCATTGCAAAGCGTCTTCTTCAAATACCTTTTAAAAATGGAAACAAATTATCATTTATGTATTATAAACATGACACATTCAATGAATAAAATGTTTAAGCTTTCAAATGTACGATTAAACCAATGGTAAGAAAACAAGATGTGTAGTTATGTCGATTGAATACCAAAACAAACCTTATAATAAGGCGATAACTTCATTGCGGTGACGCTGTTTAAATGTTCTTTTACTTTTGTAAAGAGATCATCCCAGCCACGAATAACTCGACATTTGTTCTGATAGTTGATCAATTCCAATTCAAACGTTTGCCACACATCGCGTACCTAAGCAGTTAAATAAATAAACAACTACACGACAATGACACCCATGAAATTTACAAACGTCATTGAAATAAAAAAACTAGTTGAATATAATGTATCGGCACTTGTGTACACAGAAAAAAAACACAAAACACAATTATCCTAATATATATCAAATTAACCTATTTTTTTATCTGTATAAATCCCAGAATACTCTTAAGACTTTTTTGATATTTTGCACTAGTAATAGGATTGGACAATTGTACAAACCTGTTTAAGAAATTCTTCCAAAGCCATCTCTCCTTGAGCAACTAACATAACATCTCTAAGTAGAGCTTCATTCTTAAGGAGATCAACATCCCAAACAGCACCAAGAGTTAGATCATTGATAATCCATTTTACACGAAGTTGTTTCATCAAATGTTTCCAATGACGTTCCTTGAGAGCTTCGGATTTTAACTCAACAATGTGAACATTTGCCTTAAAAGATGTTAGGTCGAGCGTGAAACATGTAAAGCGAAATAGCGAGATGTATGTTATTCAAATACAAGATAATCCTCATACCTTCATGTAACCTTTGAGTAGTTTCTGTACGTATTCATAAGATGAATACTGTTTAAGACAGTAGGGAAATTCTTTAGTTGATTCAACAAAGCATCAAGAGATTGACGTAGCTAAATTTAAATGAAAAAGCATACGTACTTTAAATATAAATTAAACATCTACATATCTACATATGCTATATTACAAACGTATATTTGGAGTAGAAACGTTAAAAAGTCATAAAAGCACAACATTACCACAACTGCAAAGTCAATCATTATCATTAAATTCAAATCATATTATATTGCAAGTGATCTACCTTGCGCGGTTGTACTGACAACCAAGGTTGCTCTTTCATTTCATCAATCTTCTCCCAAATCTTCAACAACTCGTTCCAAACTCCTTTAAGATCTTGCAACTCTTCCAATGAAACCTGGACACGATCATCGCTGATCATTGTAACACCTGATGTTAAACAACATGAATCACTATAGTGACATTTACATTACGCATTTTTACGACTTGGTCATGCAAGATATATTAGGAAGAATACGGTAGAAATATGACACACTTCATAATGCAGGATAATGAGGATATAGTAGGAACAATACAGTGCAAAGATGATATAAACTGATAACATAAAAACTTTGCCATTGAACCTACTCACCAAGTCTGAGCACCACAACAGCGTTGAATTAATTATTGACAGTATATGCAGTGAGAAAGTTCAACGACTTTCTCTGGCATGCTATAAATACACAAAAGAAACAAACCATACCTTGTTCCATTAACTCTAAGGCTTCCTTAGCTTTTGCAACATTACTTCTATCATCTTTCAATCGATTGAGCTTTCCTTCGTAAACAGCAAGAGATTTGAGAGCAGCATCCGGTCGAGTACTACCTTCAATAGGTTTGCCTTTATCCCAGTCATTCAGGAATTCTGTTGTTCTTTCTTCAACAGCTTGATCTTCAGCAATGATCTTCACTTGCAACATTGACACCTTTGGCAAAGAGAATCGTGTCATCGTCAACAAATACAATACACCATATTGTTCTTCAGTGGCCAAAAAATAATGTATTTTAAATAGCCATAAAAGTATATTGCATATTTTACCTCTTTTTGAATAGATATATCTTTACGATTCAAGATATCATTGAATGCTCCCCATTCGCCCTCTACGTTGTCGTAGTACAACCATTGTGATGGAAACTGGAATCTTTGCCTTTCCAGAATGAGCTGACCGTTTTTGTAAACCTACCATGATATAAATAAATATTAAGAGTGAATAAGAAAGCACTTGTGTGGCATGGAAATGAAGTCAGAAAGTCCTAACTTGTTGAGATGGTTAGAATGGATAAGAGAAAATAAATGTTTTAAATAACTTTATTTATGAAATAAGATAACAGGAGTGGACTTAACAAGATGAAAGTGGTGGACTTAACAACATAACAGGGGTGAACTTCACAAGATAACAGGGGTGGACTCCACAAGATAACAGGGGTGGATAAAGTTCATTAACAAGAAATTATCTAAACAAAAAGATAAAATAACAAGATCCACTTGCCTCCATAACTTTTTCCCACTTTTTCAGTTTACGTTTTAAAGATTGAACAAAAGTAATAAAGCTGACGGAATCTGATGTTGATGATACTTCAACAGAATGTTGTTCCAAATCTGTACGACTCTATGAAGATGAAACGCAATTTTATTTCATTCTCTGCGAAAAAGACGATCCTTTTCAGAACTGATTTCAGAAAGCTAACTGCTAGTGACGCCAACAATGAATAAGAGGTAATAATAATATAATAATATCCTCATTCTGATGAAGGCTCGAAGCAACAAGTCGAAAGCTCAAAAAAAAGTCATTTAAAATCCGGAGAAACCTTTATCTTTTATGAATAGAGGTTTGTATAGTTGATCAAAAATAAAACAATATTTACTATAAAATAATTTATCAAAGAATTCAACCTGTGTATAGTCTATAATAAACTTGAGAGATAATTGTACATACCTTGGTAATTGTTCCATAAAAATCATTCATATTCGTGCCAAGCATGGATCCAAACTTGCTCAGCAATTCTTTGTGCCAACTGTCATACTTAAGATTTACTTTAGATTGAACCTAAAGAAAAATGTAAGCAGTCGAATTACATACGATTTTAACAACAAACAAATTAAATGTGAACACAATATTGGGTATGTTGACGGAATTGAACCATTTATGAATATCATTATTAACTGAATAAGAGTTGAACCATAAACATCACTGACAAAACAGTTGTGAAATCATAAATATAATTATTGGTAGAACAGGAATTGAACCATAAAGATAATTATTGAAAGAACAGGAGTTAAACCATGAATTATATTACGAGCAAAGTAAACGTCGCAATGAATCACGAATTCTTTCTTAAATTTTAACATACCTGTTGGAAGTCAATAACAATAGGTCCAAATTCCTTTCTTGTTTCTTGTGTATCAAACGTAACACGGGACTTTCTAAAAGTAGAAATTAACAAATTTACAACTTACGTATAACACTTCATAATAAAAATCAATAAGTCATTTGTTTTATTCTAAATTAGCTACGTACCTGATATTCCTCAGTAGAATGATCCATCTCTCGAGACTATTATCAAGTTTGCTATAAATGAGACCAGTTTCCATGTCCCACAAGGATTGATAACGTAACCACACCTGAACATATTTTTCAACCTCTCCAACTTTCTTCTCGACAGCCTCGTAAGCTCTCTCTAGGACTTCGGGACCATCCGGAAGTATTGTGAGAAGATTACGATAGCTTGAGTGGGATTCCAAATCATCTGAATCAAGGCCAACCTAAGCAAGAAAACAAAGAGAAACTCGCAACATCATTTTCCACAATGACTTCTTTTTAAAAGTTTATGATAATACAACTTGATGTCAAAACCAAAACACAACGTTACAGAAGATAACTAATAAAACAATAGTGGGAATAATCTATTAAATAATGAAATACATCACACAGTGCAAGTCAATTTTCCAAGACGTTGATGAATACTTAATGTTACCTGATATCGGGAACTCTGAATTCTGGGTAACTTGAGAATGACACCCAACCATGTATGAAGTTGCTCAAGAAGATGACTTCTAACAGCTTCCACAGGAGGATAGAGATACAAGATTTGATTCGTGATTCGTACTTCATGACGAAGAATCTGAGGAGATGAAATAAGTATTATAAAATTCGCAAGATAATGTACACACGGAGAACGAATCAAAGTTAGCGTTTTATAAGTCATACACAGAACAAAAAAACTTAAAAGACCCATTATTATTGTTATACTTTATGTATCATCTCTATATCATTGACATACCAAGTGCAACTTATATCTTTATTTACCTTTATTTCAGGATCTCCACCAGGTTTATGCGAGACCATGGGGTTTGTGTCGGAATCAAATTCCATTTTTCTGCCATCGGCATTGTAATCTTGGAGGTATTCAGTCCATGTAATTAATCCAGCTTGTAATCGAACGGAAAGTTTCTCTTCGACCTACAAAAAATTCCCATGTCTTAGTTGGACATAACAAGTACGCAGAGAAATGAGTAATTTAGGGAGGAAAATAAATCATTTGAATGAAAACTCACACTTTTGTCTAAGCTAGCGACCCACGATGCCAAATTTGTATAGGAATACAGATTCATTTCATCAACTGATTTCTGAATACTTGCTAAAACTTGATGGAAGGTTTCAGAATCATAACTACATGATGCTAACGATTTAACTTCTCCTTCAATTCTTTCAACATTGATCAACAAATCATCAACCTGCAATAAAACCACATAACAAGAGTCTAACGTTTGTCGTTAAAACCACACAATTTATTCATAAAGAGCTTGTAACCTTTTCTTGAAAGCTGATGATTGCATCTGCAAACTTTTGCACATAAGGATCCAGTTTGTAAGATTCCCAGGTAAGACCAATACCCTACGAAAAAAAAGCATTACATCTGTTTCATTAAGAACGTTGTTGACGAACGCAAAATGGTCAAAGATTTCCATCACGACCGCAAAATATCTGTGTTTCCAGAAAATTTTTCACAAAATTACTCGCAGGAGTGTTCCTAAACATACTGTAGATCGATGGACCTGTTGTGTGTAAGAAGCTTCTTTAACAGTAAAAAATTCATTGGTCATTGGTCATTGGTGATCAGTGCTTGAAATTTTTAGTCAATATAGCAATTTTTTCCGTTTTAGAAATTTGCTCGGGGAGAGAGAAATATTTTATCCATGCCTTATCTTCATCGCCACAAATTTTTAGGTATACAAAAGGTCAAAACCTGTAGGCTATAAATTTATATAAAGTTATTACCTCACTGATCAAGTTTTGAATATCTCTTTGTAGACCAGCAACCAAAGGTTTTATCGTCTTCTTGTTTGTAACCTAAAAATTACGTAAATAGTTTACATACACTAACATCTGCAATTCTTATTGACAAAAAAGTTAAACTGTGAATGTCGTGAGATTAATCCATACGTTTTCTACATGGAAAACTTTCGCCCACCTTTGTTGACAGTTTATCAACTTTTTACCTTTTCGCAAGCTGTTTCGTAGGAGCAGACACTCTCAATAAGAGAAATGGCAAATGGATACAGCTGATTGGCTTGATGTGCTTTGTTCACAATAGCAAGTGGCACTCGAAATCCAAGCCATTTTAAGTTACGAACCTAAAACATAATTTGTCAAGAAATAAAATTATTGTAGGTTTGATAAGTACGTATTATGAGAAAATACATACCTCCTTCGCCAAAGTGATGATTTCGGGCAAAAAATTAACTTTCAACTTAAGCATAGTCCCAGTCCTTGTTCTTATGCTTTCTATAGCAAATATTCGACCACCGACACCCAAATTTCGAGCGGTAACCTAAAATGTACCAAGCAGTTATAAGGAAATGTAATGAGTTTGTACAAAAAAACAACTTAGTTTATCCTTCGGAATCAACCTACTTTTCTTGACCAATCTTCAAAAAGCTCTTGAGTATCTAATTTCTGTTTGAAATTATCACCGTCTTCCTTCAGTCGTTGTCCTTCAACATGACTTTCCCATCCTTTTCCTAACACGTCTTCAACCCGACGAAGATAAGCATTCAGTTGACGCTCGATCTGAAATATAATATTTACATTCACAATAAACCATTCTATAAATGCATACAATGGTAAGTGTGAGTGTAGAATCTAAAATAGTAACCTGTCTTGCCCATATTATGGATCCTGAAACAGCAGGAAAATCGCGAACTTTACTCATTTTCGAGTTCTTACTCTGGGGATACTGAATCTGTAAACAGTATAATCATGATTTATCACAAAATGTAGTTACACCTAAACAATAAACTTGCTCCAAATCAGGTTTCCTTTTCCCAAATATTTAACTGTTCCACACCACGGGATACAAATTACACAATAATTAACATCAATTTAATAGATGTTGGGTTATTTTATCGCAGTCAAGAAAAAAACTAACTTGACATAAGTAATGTACGAAGTAAACAGAAGTTGCTTGCTATTGAACTCATAGCAGTAATACTCTTCGAAAAGAACGATTTGTATCGGAGAGCCTCGTATGTTGTTTATAAGATACGAAGAGACTGAACATTACGGCTCAATTTGAAATCAAAAAAATAACGTTGAATGATATCTGACAGTAACAATCCCTTAATATTGCCGCTAAAAAGGTTAAGAAAAACGTCGTTTGGTGACTGCAAGAAAAGTTAAAAAGACGATAGCAAAAATCTATTGCTCGATACACGTCCACAATTAAAGATGAAATTTCAAGGATATTTTAAAGAACATACTTTAAATTTATTATGCAATGTTTCAATATCTTCTCTTGATTCTGCTGTATTCACGTAGTCTTATTATGTGGACCACAAATAATCCATGTGAATTTCTGTTTCAATTAATTCTTGCTTCCATTCCCCCAGTCACCATGTCATCCATTCCCCAATCTACCACTCCCCGTCACCACTCACATTTACCATTCACCATTCCCCACTCACCATTCATCACTCCCCAATCACCACTCACATTTACTATTCACCATTCCCCATTTACCATTCACCATTCCCCACTCACCATTCATCACTCCCAATCACCACTCACATTCACCATTCTACTCACATTCATCCACTCCATTCCATTCCATTCCACCATTCCTCCACCATTCCATTCCTTCCATCCATTCACCATTCCTCCACCATTCACCATTCACCATTCCCATCACCATTCATCCATTTCACCATTCATTCACCATTCCCACATTTCATTCACAAAACAACTGAATTCGATAAATTTGTTACTTGATGATAATATGTATCAGAAAAATAAACCATTTCTTCTTTTTTGTTACCTTAACCCAACCCCTATGGTTCCTTCTTCCTAATCAGGAAACCTTCCCTACCCTCACTAATTCTTCTAATCAAGCTCTTCCTTTAAAATTTACACTCTCTTTCATTAACTCTTTCCAATAGTCCCACATTCTCCCTTACCTGACACACCTCCACTTCACCTTACTACACCTCTTCCTCAACCTTCTGTTTTCTCCATCCTTATCTATCATTCTAGCTTCTTCCCTCTTCAACAACCATTCATACCTCTTCATAGCAGCTTCCCAAGCTTCGTTACCCTCCTTTGAAATATCCAGAGCATCGACATCTTTTGTATTCTCATAAGCCAAATTCACTTCTTCTATGGCATTTGCATCAGCTGGATCTAAGGACGCAGCAATTTGAATATCTGTTATTTCATCAGCAGAATTTCGTGGATGTATTTGTTCTTTTGTTGCAGGTTGAAGGACTCGCACGATCACCTGACGTAATTGTTCATGTTGGCGACGAAATCTAAAGAAAACATGAATTTTCTTCATCTAAATATCACTTAACTTTATACTAAAATGTGAGGAAACCTTTCACAATTTTTTTTCACAGGAACGATTTACGTAAAAACCTCGTTCTTCAAACCTGAAGTCGCGACAGAATGCTCAATATACTCAACAACAGAAAATAGTTCAACATAACTGAAACTACGGACAAATTACGTAAAAATTATGCTTTAGTGCAACAACACCTTCACATAAATATAAAACTCAACAAGTCAAAAGCTTACTTTCTGACGTTTTCAAGTCTTCCTTGTGACTTTTTATGAGATGGATTAACACGACCAGCTTTTCCATGTTCATCACGTTTCTTCTTTGAAATATCACGAAGCATTGTCTGCAGTTTTTCATATTCTTCATCCCAGGTTGTAAACACTTTGAAACATGCAACCATCATCTGCAAAATTATAAGTATCTAACTAACTTATCGCACATTAAAAAATCATAAATTGTACAGTGGTTACTGCCACTCATTCATTTGTCGAAATATAATTTAAAATTTCTCCCACCTTATCAAAATCTTCATAAGGGATATGCATAAGTCTCAATGGACCTAACACCTTCAAAAAAAGGGTTAATGATTACTATTTATTTAAAACTTGAAATTAGCAACAAGATTAATTAATACAAGGTGATATAAAATAGTAGCGAGAGACTTGCCGAGCGGAAATCGAATTCGTGTAATAAAAATTAATGCCCAACATAAAGTTCTGATTAGAGCCATAGAAATAGACCAAAAAAAGTCAAATTGTAAAATTAAATTTATTGTAACGTTTCGTCTTGAACGTTACAATCGTCTTTAAAGTTTCGTCTTAAACGTTACAATAAATTGAATTTTACAATTTGTCTTTTTTTGGTCTATTTCTATGGCTCTAATCAGAACTTTATGTTGGGCAGTAATTTTTATCACACGAATACAAGGTGATCTGTGAACAAATTGTATATCAATGAAAATATAACGTATTTACCTTCAGAAGTTGAGCACTTAAGTCACGTGAGATTGCTTCAACCAATCGCAAGCACCTTTGAATGGGATACTTTGTGTTTCTAATTTTCCTGAGATGAGCAAAGATCTGTGTCAGAGAAGATCTGATTTTATCTAATTCAGTAGCCGACAAAAGATCATCAAGAGGAAAATCTTTCATCAAAGGGCTGTAGTCATTCACAGTTGTTATTGCTTGCTTTAAGCCTAATAAAAGTAGGTATGAAACAATGCATCATTAAACAAGAACATCCAGGTTTGTAGAGATGTGTAGAATTTTCAAGACTTAATGAAATTAAATAGATGCTTACTTACCAGTGTCAGAATCAAAACTAACAGTTGCATGAAATCTTTTTCCACACTTTAAGATATCCAAAGTCAAAGCAACTTCAAAGCTCTCACGTTTTTCTTGAATACGTAGGAGTGCTCTTTCCAAATTCAACCAAAAGCTAATCTCCTGCAAGGCATTTCCGGATGCTGGATCACGATTTAGCTTGGTTACCTATAATGAAATGTCAATTTTCTTATTGAAACAGTGGATACGTCAAGGCATAAAATTCTAATATTCTACACAAAAAAAACCATTTTCAAACACAGTGAAATAAATTAATAAGACAAATCAACTTTTTTGAAAATATACTTTTTGAATTTCTCTGATCCATCTGTTGACACCATTCTGTAATTGATTAAGAAAGGTGGAATCTTCACAAAGTTCTCCAAAGTCTTGAACTTTTGCTTTTCTTCCTTCTTCCTCGCATTTCTTGATCATGTTCAAGACAGTTGGATGAATGATTAATGTTATCTCAGGTATGTCAATATTTTGCTGCAAATGTAGAAGTGCCATTTCCAATTCTGAAATCTTCTTTGCAACAGATGGCACCATTTTATCACCATCCCTTAAGTTAAATTAATTGTTATTTAGACAGAATTTAAAAATGCTAAAATAAAAATATGTAATGTAAACACAACATTCCCAAATTACTTCCACTCAAATAAGGCATGATTTCATAAAAAATGAAATTTGTCATAAGAGTTTAAAAGCATTGCCAAGATTACACACATAATAGCAAAATGCCAAAATGTTTTACATATTAGTTCACTAGACAGCTAACACATTATTGCAAAATAAATCCTGAAAATATTACAAATACCAAATATGCCTGTTTAAACAGTAATTTATTGATAAATATTTTTTTTTGTATAGAGCAGATAACAAAGCGTTTCTTCCAAAACCATTCCAAAAATATCTTTATTTATTGAACAAAAAATTCCCCCCCCCAAAAAAATCTGTCCTTTCATTCTTTACAGATGTTCATTATTGTTTCTTGATATTATTTTGTTTCTAAAAATGCTGCGTATACAGTCATAAACATTTAATTTGTTATAATATATCAATATTTTCCTCGAACACAGTTTTATATGCACATGAAAAACATGTGACTTAAAAACATGTCAACAGGTAGAGAGGCAAACTAGTAAGCCAAAGGTGCGAGTTCAAATCTCGTCCAATCCACATGTTTTTTGTGCGCATATAAACTGTGTTAGGATTAATATGTTATATATTTCTTCCCCCTGAGACCATAAATTTGAAATCAAAATGAAAAAACATTACATAATGATATATTTACTAAGGAGACGGAAACTTTCCTTTACAATATTTTTGGTCACTAACATAAGCTAGTAAATTAGATAGTTAATACAGAACTAAAACAGACATTAAAAAGCTTAAGCTAAATCTACTCATGCTGCCATATCATTATAAATGTACTATTAGGGGTCGTCAACAAATAAATTTCATCATGCATCATGGAGTTTTCCATGATTGTCAACACCCCCTCCCCCCTACTACATTGCAGACCAATGTAAAAATGTATTTACTGATGAGAAGCAGTTTGTAATTGTGAATTATAGTGTAGTGCTCACATCGACAGGAGTTACTTGTTTCTTTTGCCATAACATTCTTGTTGTGAGTAAAAAATATTGTGAAATGTTCCTGCCTTTATTTCAATAATGATATTTATTAAATCGGTTTTTGTCCCATTTTTCTTATAATAATTGGGGAATCTGAGCTACCCTCTTCTTCTCATCGCAGCTAAAGTTCACGATACATGACGAAATGGTCTATGAAACCTTACTAAGATGCACCTTTCAAACTTTTCTGTTTGTACTGCCTGCAACCCCCCAATCAAAAAAAAATTCACATTCAAAGTAAGAACTATTACCAAAAATTGCCGTTTCTTAGAATTACCTGTCTGCTTTTCCAGATGTTTTAACAAATGATTTGAAATAAGGAGCAACTGCATTGCTGACAAGGGCATGAAGTGTCTCAAATGGGGAATCATCGCTTAAATTCAAAAGCCTCAGCTGAGAGGCAATCTTTTTATCAGCTTCAACAACAGCAAATCGTTTGATAAAACCAACGCTGTTCAGCTTGGGTGCTGTATATTGAACATTTAGATGTATTGAATAAGAAACGCGTCCATCTCTTTCCGATTCTGCAGCGCTATCTGAGCTTGAGCTGTCTTCTTCTTCGTCTTTTAAAACACTCTTGCTTACGATCAACGCTCGCGTTTGAGGATCAGAAAGAAATTTCTTTATACACTCAAAGTATTCGTCATTATTGCAAGCGTTTATAAGCTCATGGCTTTGATCGGTATCACCTTCCAAAATTGCCGGCACAACTTTCACTAAAAATTGCACAAAATCACGAGCATCAACGACAGCAGTAGACGATTGAGTATCGCCACTTTCTGCCGCTGATTCCATGATTAAAACGCGGTTTGATTGTGAAAACTTCCCTGTTCTTAGAACAAATTCTTTCCTTCGTGTTCAAAAATTATGTATTTCAACATTTAACATATCCGAGTTCGATGCATATTTTAATTTTTAACCCCGCCCTTTCTTTTCACCCGATTCGCAAAACGCGAATAATTTGACAACACTACACTACACATACGTATATTTGGGATATTTTATTTATAAAGATTCCTAAGGGCCTGTTTATATGGAGCCGAGTTACCCGACTGAGCGAGTTACTCGCTCAACCGGGTTTGACAAAGTGATCTGTTTATATGGCACCGGGTAACTCGGCAAGTACTTCTGTTCATTTGTCTTAAATGAAGTTTGGCTATGCTAACTTCGAGTAAAGACGCGAGATTTTAAAAAGCCTCACAGTTTCGCAGCAAAAATGGAATGGGTGAATATAAAATTGAAAATTATGATATGTGTATGTTTTTGTATAATAATGCTGCAAGTACAAGGCGTAGTACACATGCGTACCAACAGAGCTAATTTTCTCGCCTCGCCGAGTTACCCGGCAAATGCGTTTATATGGAAAAATTCATCCCGCCTAGCCGGGTAACTCGCTTACACAAACCGAGTTCCCGGCAAGGCGAGTTACTCGGTGTGTCATATAAACGATTCACCGGGAAATGCATTCATTTTATATAAGGGCCGAGTTACCCGGCTAGGCGAGTAACTCGCTCAGCCGGGTAACTCGGCTCCATATAAACAGGCCCTAAAATGTACTACATACACCCCAATTACCAACGTGCTCAAGAGGATAATTTGAATGTCCAATTAATGTAGAAAGAGCAAATCTCTGCCCTCAAAGAAGAGCACATTGTCTAATGCAAGTATGGAATCTTTTCTGGCTGGGTAAAAGTAATTGGTAGAAATACCATAAAATTTACTGACATAAAAGAAATATACTCGCTGTGGTATTTGGAAAATCAATCACTATAAGATATTTTTGCTTTATAGGGAGAGATTCTAACTCCAGACACTTTGAGTCCCATATTCAGTAAAAGAAAGTTCAAAAATGAGAAATGAATACAAATTTGATGAATTTATTTGGAAAAATTCTTTGCCCACATTGATTACAACGTAATAAAATTCCATTAGCTACGTTAGGAGTATAATCCTTAACGTAGATCTTTCAGTAACGATTTCACTTCTTCAAAAATATTTAACAATAAAGAGTTATCACTAGATTTTGCATCTACTGTTACTGTAGTTTCGTTCTAGAAAAAAGAGAAAAAATGTCAGACGAACCATGGTTGTGAAATCCCTTCAATTAGATTGGATTTATTTCATCAATTTTAAGTTCAAACACTCGCTCATTTGAGGGACAAAGTTTTAAGTTCATTTAAAATCAATTCTTCTTCTATGGGTAAAAATATGTATACTTGAATATCCGCTATGTATACTTGAATATCCCCTATGTATACTTGAATATCCCCCATAATCGAGTTGGTCACGCCATTGGATAACACTCCATTTTCACGTGTTTTCATATATGGGAAACTTCATCTAGGAAAGAGGTGGCTTCCAAGCCTCGTTCACACTGATGCAAAAAATCGGCCATTTCTACGCTCCCAGATTTTTAAAATGCCGATGCATGAATGTGAAAATGAAGTACAAGGTCGTCCCAGTGTTACATCCATGTGAACAAAGCCATTCTAGTCTCTCCATGATATGAGACAAGTGGCGTAGACTGCAGGTAGAGAGAATCCCACGTGAAAGATCAAATCCGGGGGGTGACGTAGACAGTAGGCTGAAGAGAATCCCACATGAAAAATCATATCCGGGGGTATAGACAGTAGGCTGAAGAGTATCCCACGTAAAAGATCAAATCCGGATCAAAAATAAGGAGGGGCAATAGCTAGTTGATTACCTACGTTATTACTAAATTAAACTTCAAACCCCAGAAACAAAAGAAATGGCTAATAAGAGACTCTACATTTAAAAATTTTCCCGGGGGAGCACACCCCAGACCTCCCTTAGTACGGCTCGTACAACAACATGCCCCTGCAAAACTTCAGACCTGAATACGCCCCGCGTTTTCCAAAATTGGAAATATATTTCTGAAATTACATGATGTAAAAATTTCACTTTAGACACGCTTCACACGCATAAAAATTGGCAATTTCTACAACTTTTAGGATATAGATAAAAATAAGGGAGAACACATTCAATATAAAATAATTAAACACTGTGAAGAAGAATAAAGAATGTAGAGTACAGACATACCTTTTTAACAAGAAAACACAAGTTATCCTGAAGAATTGATCTTCCAAATAACGAAGCACTGTTATCAACCCGTTCGACAACTACAAACAAAAAAAATATAAACATTAAGCGGGATATCTTATTTCCAAACAACACGCTTTTCCTACTGAAAATAAAGATTCTATGTAACTTTAGAGAAGTCTCTTTTCTTGTTATTTTATACGCCAATAAAATATTACCAGACAAATGAAGGCTGTAGCAGATCTTTGAGATGATAACAGTAAATCCAACTTCCGCAGAAATCGTTTCCTATGTCATGGAAATAAAATATGATAAGAAAAGAGTTCTTTTACATAGCATCACAAAGAAATAACTTAAGTCTGTGTGATCCCATTAAATTTGGATGGATAAAGTTGAATAGTAAGACAGTTCCACATCATATCGAGTATTTGATATGTTTGCATACGAAATACACCATAAATACAAGCGCAAGCTACAACGCATGCAAACACTTGCCTCTGTGGAAATTTTTTCTGACAGATCACCACTGCTCAATAATGCTGCAAAGTTGTCACTGTGAACGAAGACAAAAATACAATATTAAAATGGTAATTCGCAACTACCAGGATACATACAAGTCAATTCTACATTAAAATCTTGCTTTTGCAAGCAGTACTAAGATTGGAAAAGTTTTTGTGGGTAGCCTCTGTCTAACTAAACTATGCTGTAGGTGTCTGTCCGTCTGTCGTCATCCTCGGTGATAGCCGGACATAAAAAAACAATGACGAAGAAATATCGCACATTGTTTTGCTAACTATTTTTCCTTTTTTTCGATTAATTAATCCCGAACGGTTTATTTTTGGGAAATTGTGTGATATGAAAGTAACATGAATTGCAAAACTTTTGCAGGCAAGCAAATTTTCAATAAATTATTGCGTCGCATCGTTCCAGTTTCATTTTATTTCATTCTATTCATCTGAACTTTAGATAATTTTAGAACTGCAAATCGCTGTATAGGTCATAAAGAGATCGTTCCTTACCTTGAACAAGCAGTTGGTACTATGTAAGATGAACACGGGAGAGGAAGCTTAAAGTCAAGTTTCTCACTTGTGGAACCATCATCGTACTAAAATAATAAATAAACAAAACTGGATACTTTCAACATTAAAATAAGGGATCCAAAGATAGTGCAAAGTTTAAAAAACTCGTACGTAATTTGAATCAACCGTAAAATGTTTCATACATTTATTTCATTTAACATTGAAAATATTTCTATAACAAGGTATCGTCTAAATAGCCTCATGTTGTCCATGGTTTACATGTGAGCAATTTTTTGTTCATAGTGTAATGTCTATGGTTGTAAATTCGCTACTTTGCTTTTACGCATGATGAGAGCATACCAGGTAGATAACGGTCATTGAGGTAACGAATTTGAAAATGAATTTGTTGAACAATTCCTCATAAAAATCGCTAAACACATTTCAATACTGCACAAAACAAAAAGTGAGGCTTGCATGCAGCTTCATAAAAGCTTTTTCTGCATAAAATGAGCAAATATACTCATGACAAAGCACTTCATTTGACACGTAATGCAAGGCAAACAAACCTGTATCATATAGGTAAGTGTTGATCTTAACTTCTGAGGAAATCCAATTTTCTCAGAGGCGAAAGCAAATTGGCCTTCGTTTGAAGCACCTTGTGAGAGTAAAAGTCTACAGTTAATATTTTTTAATGATCGCGATGATTGTAAGTAACAGAGGGAAAAAGTCCAGGTGAGCCAGCCTAAAATCAACGATAGTTTCGAAAGGATGATTTCCAAAGAAGGTAACATGAAAGTAATTTGCACCCTTACAGTAAGAGTCTTATAACAAACAATCCACTAGTTACACAGCAAAGGGAAACTTTAAAGCACAGTTTTCCCTTACTAAAATCACAGTAAAATCGCCTGCAAAATCGCAACGTAACATCTGACCTTATCATTAGGATACAGTATTTTAAGGAAAATAAATCTTTGAAACACTGTCTACCTGCAGGTAATTGAAAAGGAACTTTAACTGCATCATGTGAAGTATGATTCATCTGAAATACAATATGTTTGTGTTCATCAAAAAGCACATAGAAATGAAAGCAAATATCAAAGAACCAAAATAATTATGAGAGAAAATCTCTTTAATAAGTTATCCTTTTCTTTTATAGAAGAAATGCAATGAACGTGATTCAATTTTAATGTCAAAATATTTTATGGCACAAACCGGTCGAATCAGTTTTGTGTTCAATGTATCCATGATATTCATTTCCAGGTTCTTGATCTGCATTTGTGTGCGATTACTGTAAATGAAAAACATCACAATAAGACTTTCAAACAACTCAGTTGAAGATTTAGGCTTATGTGGATACAGATGCGACATATGAGCTGAGTATTAGAGTCAGCGTTTAGATTTATCAATGGTCGTTATCTACAGAGATGATCTTTGGCTCATCATAAACTTCTCGTGAAGCTCATTGGAATCAGTTAAAGCTCATCGCCGTAAATCGAATACTTTAGAGGAGATAGCATCTGCGCATGCGCAACAAGATTCCTGAGTAGCAATATGTGTGGCAACTGAGTTGAAAATAAAAACTCACCTAAATATAATCATGGCAACAATTTGTCCAGTCACCTGTGGATTAGGTTTAATATCATACATCTGTAAATATGAAAAGTACGTCATGACGAAATGTATATTTACTACAGTCTCTCGTTAAGTTTTACCATCAATAATCAATATGTACATAGTTATTTATTATACAAGTAATAAAACCTACCAATTGAATATTCTTGTCTTCAGCAAGTAACTTGTACTTAGTCGTCTCCTGAACGATATACGTACAATTTTAGTGCACTGCGAAAAAAAAACATCATTTTAAAGCAATAAACGCTTCTTCACCTCAGGTTCTGGCTCTACATCAACCAAATGAATCATTGAATTTTCTTCTGTAGCAACATCAGTCTGACTAACGTCAACCACCGGTTCTTCTCGTGTTTTCTTTTTGTCTCGTTTGTGTTTCTTTTCCTTGGTTTTTTTTTCAGATTTACTTTTCTTTGACTACATTAACAAGACGAATTAAATTCCAGTGAAACAGTATATTAAACAAAAGATGGGGTAGATACAGATAAAACATACTTTCCAATCAGAGTTTGTTGCAAACAAGCTTGAGTTTTATTACGAAATCACAACTAATATAATGAATTAGTTTGACCGCTAAGATATTAAAATGCTGCACTGTTTTTTTTCATGCAACGAGCACTCTTTATATGATACCAAAAATAATATCTGAGTGTCGTGAGTACAACGTAAATAATGTTAATATTTAGAAAGTAAGTATTTGTATTCCACAAATACTCAATGAGCGACGTCAGTGTGTGAGTATAAGAATGAAAATATGTTTTAACATTTTACCTTTGACGATTTCAAGTTTTCTACATTTCCTTGTTGCTGTTGGGAGTCTTGAGGAGCTTCGCTTACCTTCTGTAAAAATGTAATAATAAAGAAAGTTGCATGTTTATTCCAATCAATAAAATGAAGTTTTAAAACTTCCTGTTTCACAATTCATTGATAAAAAACTTATTTAAAACTGTTCCTTAATTTCCTAACCTCCGTAGCTGTCAGTGTTGCTGTTGCTGGTTTTGATTCAGGCGTATTTAACCAGTAGTCAATATCGTTTATCTGCCATGACAAATATTAATCATTTTTAATGATTATTAATTATTATTACATATATAATTACTAATTATATTTAAGTCAATCATAAACAAAGCTTAAAATTCAAACGTACGTCCGGAGATTTCTTCCCTTCTACATCCTTTACATCTGCCTCCGCTGGCTCACATACTGCTGTCTCAGTTGTGGCATCCAACACAAGTTCCCCACTATTTTCTTGTATATCTACACAATAGATAAGTTTCAGGCATCTTTGACGCATGTATGGGCAGCGATTGTAGCTTATGCGTAAGTAGATAAAGAAATTGTCGCCTTATAAAAAATATCAAAATGTAAAACAGGAGGAAAATGTGTCATTGAAAGGCTACAGCAAACATATGATACGAAGTTTTAAAAACAAAAATTCCAACCTTCCGTTTGCTTTTTCTTTTCTTTGTCATGTTTAGATTTACCATGTCGATGCTGCGAACAGAAATGAATTATTGCAAGACAAATTTCGATAAACAATATCTATTTAAAATACATTTATCAGCAATAAGCCTCATCAATACCCTTTTGCCTTCTTTATGTGATTTTTTACTGTGATGTTTCTCTTTCTTCTTACGTTTTTCCTTTTTCTTTTCTTCCTCCTGAAGCAAACATATTATACATCATATCATCATATTTTGAAACTGAATTTCTTTACACACATCGACAACATAGGTAAAAGGATTATTTTCTTTAGTTTAAAACTATTGTTCTCTACAGATTAATATTTCCCGCCAGTCCCTGCAGACAAATATGAATTGCTAGCTTATCAATGTATGTTTTATTACATATGGTATGAAGCAATATATAATTGACTTGTGTAACACACCACTTCTTCAGTTTTCTCCGCTTGAGGTGATGTGACTCGATGTGTTCGAACAGGTAACTTCTCATTGTCATCTAGAGGTCTTTAAACAACATAAATGTTGTACAAATTAATGTTAAATATGATAGCATACTTTGTTATACAACCCACAAGAAACAACCATTTGTTATACACAACACCAAAGAAAAGCATGTTATACACAGCACTAGAGAACAACATAACTACACAACAGTAGAGAACATGATAATTGTTATAAACAGCACTAAAGAACAACAAAATTATTACACAACAGTAGAGAATAACACAATTATCACACAAAAGTAGAGAACAACACAATTATTACACATCCCTAGAGAACAATATAATTGTTGTACACAACACTAGAAAACAACTAAATTGTTTTACACAACGCTAGAGACCAACATACTTCTTATACACAAAACAAACTTACTTGTCAAGATCGACATTCAGTAAACTATGGGGGTCGTTGACGTCAGTCTTTTCTTCTACTTCGTCGTCTGAGGCACGAGCATTCTAACACAAAATAATAAATAAATCTTACTTTCTATGCGAACAAAAATAATGTAAATGTTCAACATTCTAACTCACGCCCCACATTTATTCAAACAAATCATACAATAGCTATGTGTTCAACAAGAATTTATGGTGTAAACTCAACAGTAAAAATTTAATAAATTTTATTTAATTACTTCAGGCATTTCTCCTTCGACTGTTTTTAAAACTTCATATATTGGACGATGATCTTCTTCAGAATCTGAGTCTCCTTTTCTACCTTTCTTTCCTGGGGTTCAAAATTTGGAAGTACAATTAGATTTCCATTTATCGGTGTTAATTTTTCAAATGTTTAATTGTGTTTGAAACTTTACGTACCTCTTTTTTTTTTATTCTTAGACTTTCGAGATTTCGACACACCAGAACCTGAAGAAGTGAGAGATACATCCAATGATGGTATGATGTTCAAACAAAACGATACGCAGTAGCTTTAGGGATATTGCATACCCTCAATGTGTAAAGATATGGGAATCTCCAAGGCTGACACAGGAATATCTTCAATTTTTATCTGCGTTGAACTCTACAGTCATAAAACGTACGAACATTACAAATTAATATTACTTTTATAAAATCATTAATTGATGAACGAGAAAATCACAATACGAGTGAATTAACCTTTGCCTTGCTACTTGTGCTTCCTTTCAAATAATGAGGATTGTGCATTTGTTCCTCGCGTCTTTTCTCTCTCAGCTGAAACATAATCATACGTACGTCATGTTTTAAAATCATCAAAAGTAGAGATGAGTCACCAAGATGAAAATGAGCACCATGTTGTCAAACAAATTAGATGTAAAACAACGCTGAAAACCACTTTGAAAAAATACAATTTAGTTGCATGACTAAAGGATAAAGACTCTGATTTACTGGTCAACAAACCAAGCAAACAGTCAGAAAAGTAAAATTAACTAAATACGTAAATTATACAAATGCCACATAAATAATGATAACAAAAAAAATTATAGCAAGAGTTAGATACAGACAAGCAGGAGTTAAAGAACCAAACCTTTTCCAATTCCTTTTCATCAATTTTAGACTCTTTCTTTTGATAGGGTTTTTCAGATCTAAAATATAAAATACAAGGCCAAACATTTTGATATTTACGTACAACATCATAATCTAAAAGTAAACTTTGAAAGAGCTCAACCACGTTACAACAAAAGACAATAAATAGTAAACCTATCGTTCTCAAAAAACATGTTGTTGATGTCTTCATCGTCTTCTTCCTCATCAGAGCTTTCAGGGGGGTCGTTGATCCATTTGTCAAGATCAAGTCTAGACAGAAAGTTCCAATCATTGCATTTGATAAGGTTTTTTAAGTGAAACATTAATGGCTGGATCATCATTTCACTACCCTTCAGGAATCGGCACTTTCTTTTGAGCTTTAGTTGCGACAGGATTAAGTTCGCCAGTAAAAAGTAAAGATACTTCCGCTGAACATTGAAAACCTTAGTGAGAAGAAACAATATTTTATACGTCATGTAAGTGTGAGATACGTATCAGCTTAAATGAATTAAATTCAACTACGTGTTAAACCGATTTTGGTGGCTATAATTGCACAGTAATGTAAAAATATAGGAGACATGACGTCATGTACCTTTAGCTTGAAGCTTAAGAACATATTTGATCAATTGAAGACCAACACATGCCTACAGAGTAATACGCCATTAAAATCAGTTGTACAGCACAAAGCAGCCCAAAATGACAGACATAGTTGACCACTGCCCCGTTTTCACGAAGAAAATAAAATTTTGACGCGGTTCCAAATAACATATACAATGGCGGAACAGATGGATCACTCTCGTAGACATCCTTTGCAATTTTCAAAAGTACTATATTGTCCCTACCCTTTCCTGCACTTCAAGATCACTACTTTGAGTAAACATTGGCAACTTATCGACAATAAGTTGTCCCAGGTCTTGAGCTTCATCCATATCTCCCTTAATAATTTAAACATAGCAAAACACAAGTTATACACAAAAAGAATATTCATGTTCTCTAAATACAAACACGTACAAACCCTCTACTGCTATAATGAGACGATTACCTTTTCTTCCGCCTTAGCCATGATGTAAGAATAAAGTTTAAGAATATTTTGCACGTAGACACTCTGAATATGTCCAGGTAATGAAGACACACGTGACTTTAACATGAACATTAGTACGACCTTCTGGTCAGAGAGAAAACTAGAAAAAAGCAAGATCTAAGATAAACATATGAATATATTACGATAAGATAATGTACTTCATTTAGTCAAAACGTACTGAGCAAACTCTCCACAAATCCAGGCTGCAGCAAACAAGACTTCACACATCCCATGCTTTTGAATGGAGCCACTCAAAAGATCCGAACTGTCTAGCAGGAAAGACTGAATAAAAATAATTAAAAATAAATTGCTTACCAAAGATAAATGTTTTATAGAAGTTTCTGTTAACTCTGGTAATCATACAAACAAAATGATTTAATGAGGCAATACAAAGAGATTTTTAAATAATAATTCGTGCTACACACGGGTGTAAAATTATCATGAAAAAAATACGTGTAAAATTCCAATCACAATCATGAAACAATTCATAGTAATGTTTTTAAATGCAATAATATTGCAGCTTATAATCTCACATGTCACATGAGTTTTGTGAAATCAATAGTGAATAAGTAAAGTATTTGACTCTCCCTCACTAAAGTAAACGTCAAAAGAATATCAAAAATTTTTTCCTGTCGTTGACGTTGAAGTTTTTTTTCATGTAAAAGATTTGAAATCGTCTCTGCGCAATATGTAGTTAACTCACCAAACATTGTACTGCATAACAATATGTAGTTAACTCACCAAACATTGTACTGCATAACAATATGTAGTTAACTCACCAAACATTGTACTGCATAAGACCTCACAGCTTTGACGCGAATTGGAACATCCAGCATTTGAGCGGCAATAAGTTTCCCATGTCTAGTGCCCTCAATCTTAGTTAACTGGATCAAAACATCGATGTACCTGTGAAATTAGGAAGTAACACGTCAACTTAATACGAAAATGCTATTATATCGCACACACAGTTAAACACTGTCATAGAGGCATTGTTAAATAGAGTAAATGACAGAGCATCATAAAAGGTGATCTTCTTAACCGCCACCCCACGTGGTCACAATAAAAGTGTATTTTAAAATAAACATACAGTCAGTACTCACCATTCAAAATTTGTGATATGATGATAATCAGACTGACTGCACACCATTATTATTTTCGATATAAGTTCATCGCGGTAACCTGACAGGAAGAAAATTACAATTTCATCATTACAATGCACAGAAAAGGACGACATTGATTGTACCTACGGGTACACAGTAAAAGACGAACATGAGTTTCAAACATAAAGGGTCATTGCTTTTTAAAAGGTTTTATAAAAGTTTGAAAAAAATTGCTATCCAATGGATAGCGCTATCCACGCATCGTACAAACGGCCCCAGATGAATACATTACCAGAGCTGTCACATTTTTCAGCTTGATGAGTAAGTTTCTTAACGATATCCATTAAATTCTTTTTGTTTACCTTAAATAAATAAAAATTTTCGCTTATGATATCTTGTTATAACTTTTGTAGTGTTGTCTTGGTGGAAAATTCGCGGTTTTCCCTTTCCATGAGTAAGGTGTACGTGTCTTATAAAGTAAGGAAAAAACGCCGCTACTCACCATTCCAACGATGAGATCGAGTGCCCTTCGACGAATAAACTCGTCCTTATCATCCAAACATTGTAAAATAATGTCTCTAATTTAGATAAAGAATAAAGTCTATGATCAAATACCATCACAAATTTTATATCAATAAGAATTTCAACAGGCACTAGAAAAGCATTTTTAAACATAATCTTTTGTTTTCAAGGTGTCAAAAGAGTTTCATAAATCATAAAAATCCAGCAATTTGCAATACTTGAGAAAAATAATTAAAATAATTATTCATTTACTTTAAAGGCATCACAGCTTTGGGATGAACTTTCAAAATTTTAGACATGGCCAGCAATCCGAGGTATTTGACTAAAAACAAAATAATTACATCAAAAAATTCATATTTTCAAGTCAAAACGTTATGTTCAACAGGTTCACTCACGGTTTTGATCACAGTCTTCGATAAAAATTCGCAATTTTTGCACACAAAGCTACAAAAACAAAATCTCAGTAAATTTCGTTTTACAACAGAATATAAAGTAAATGGTTTAAACTCGGCAGTATCTTTACATGTTTGTATATGTAGATCGTCCAGGTTATTAAAGTCCTTGGAAGGAATGTTGATGTTCATGTTGACGGACGTTTCGACAACCTTAGCGGTAGTCATGTTGACTCTGAAGATGACTACAGCTAAGGTTGTTGAAACGTCAGTCACACCTGGACGATCTACATATACAAACATGTAACTTCAGAATGTCATTAATTTAAAAGAAAGCCTGTTTACACTTTCAATAAAAAAATGAGAAGAACGTAGCTATGTATTACCTGCATAGAAGAATTGTGGTTTGGAACTCCTACGAAAAATTTAAAATTTATCTTAATTTGCTCAACTTTATCTTTATTGTGATAATAAATGATATTTAAGTATAGGTCTCCACTACTATCAATTCAATACTCTTAAATTCCCATTCTCTCCAAACAGACAATCACACCTTTTCCTTGTCAAGGGTACGTAATCAATACCCAAACATCCCACCCAACTTCTTGTCAAGGAAAACAATGAATTTTGTCTTTACGTGATTAAAGAGAAGATAAGACAACAAAATGAATACCTGCTATCATCGTATTAACACATTCGTACAGTAGAGACATTGCAGATGTTCTGAAAAATATTAAACACGATGACGTCATTTATAGGAAATCACGTGTTCTCTGAATGATATCATTAGAGGAGCCACGCAAGCAAGGTTTTTGACATTATAAACGTCATTCAGAAGTAGATTTGGCTTTTTTAACCATTTATTGTGCTCAACTCACTCTAAGCTGTGCACCAAAACTGCATGTGTTGTGATAAACGTTTCTCACATATATTCATCATTCACACATTGTAAAAAACATACGTACGTGTGAATAAGATTAGTTAATGGTTCGATCATTTTTTTCCCCAAGCGAGGCTCTAATGGACATAAGGCTCCAAACTACAAAAATACGAAAGAAAAATAAATCCTAGATAAATTGGATTATGGTGCATTTTATGATAAATCAATAAGAAAGAAAATCAGCAGCTCCTTTGAAACGTAGAGCTTTTCATACCAGTTTAATAATTTTAATTAACGTCCAGTTGTTTGTTGAGCTGTTCATTAATTTGAAGAAGACAGGTGCCAAAGAAAGATAATTCTTGGGATTCTTTCGAGCAAGTTCACAAATCACATTTACAGCTGCTGATTGCACGCCTAAATGTGACAGACAAAACAACGAATATTCATAGTTCTCTATGCTGTGTTCAATTTAAAGAAACTTTAATTCTTTCAGTACGTAGCCAGCTCCCAGGTTTAGTGCTGCCACGTGTAATTAAATTTCAAAACATCATTATTTAATGCAATTTTCATTATCGAAATTAAATTAAAGAGGTTTAGCGAAACTTTACAATGGTTTTTCCTCCATGAAATTATTTCTATGCGATAAAAATTGCTTGAATATTAAATATTTTATGCTTTAGCGAGCATTTCCTCCTGTGGATAGTGTGGTAATGTTTAATTTCAGAAGATCAAAATAATGACCTGGTTCGTCGTCTTCCAATTTATCCTTCAGTCGAGGAAATGACGGACGTAAAGCCTCTGGAAACTGCAAAAAATATTTTTCAATTTTTGTTTATACTACGTAATCACTTCATCTTCCAATAATATTTAAATTTATGACAAATTATAAGACACTAACAAGTCAACTGTACAAACTACAAAACATACAAAACATAGAATACACAAGGAAAGGCCATGGGCTATTCAGAAGAAATGTTTTTTGATGATTACGTACATACGTATATGACGAAGTTTGACTAATTTAGTGAATAATCTTCATGGACATTTTGTCATCAGAAAAAAAACTTCGCCTACCTTCAAGAAAATCTTAAAAAGCAATAAAATTCCTCTTTTTCTCACATATGGACGAGTAGCAACAAGCTAAAATATAAATTAAACATCAGTACACTGTACTGTACTTTAAATTAAGAACCAATCTCTGAGTCTTTATATCAAAGCAGGCATTACTATAACACATATTTATGTAACACATATTAATTAATCTAAAAACTGCAAAAGAACATATATTTTAGGTATGTATTTTAATTATTTTCATTTTTTGACACCTGCATCAAGAATGCATTTATTATGCCACTAAATAGGAAAAAAACGGTTAGCAGTAGCACAGCCATTATGCACAAATAAAACATACCAGATTAGTCACATCATTAGCAAGATCTCTCGCTAAATCTGGAGTGACAAAACATGAAAGACCATTCAAAGCTACTCCAGCATCATACATGTTTGTGCTTGCCAAGTCCTTTAAAATTCAATCAACATAAATACATACGTACAATGCTTAAAATATTGCTCTGTGGCAGTAAACACAACATGTGTGAAATATCATTAAAAAATTTAGTTGGGATTCAGATGTTTGATGTTTGGTAAATTATAATGATCTTCATAACTTAAAAGATAATTATGTTTTTCAAGATTTTGAGCAAAGGCGTCCACGATGAACGATAAAAACAAAACAAGGAAGACTGAGATTCTTCTCATCCAAAGCAAAGATGAGCTTTAAAAGCAAAAACAAAGCCTTTGTTATCCTCCACATCACATATAAACCAGATAAACAATAGCTTTAAAATTTACATAATATTGTTCTTCATTCTACAATGAAAAATACTCATATAATAATGTATTATTTTTCTAACCTTTCAACCATATTAGTGGTGAGCATCAGTATATCAAGTTCTTCATGGAAACATTGTGATGCCCCAAGATATCCAATACGCTAATGAGTAAAGGCAAAAAATAATAATTCAAGTTGTGCCTCCCCCTTAAAAACATTATAATCTTGTTGACAGAATAGTTAATGCAATGTATAACTTACTTGTTTGAAAACATGCCACTTGCCTTACTTAAATACATAATTTCCGTAGTACACTACAAAATGTATTTATGAATAATATGAAGGTAAATGAACACCTTAAAAGTAAACTTTGATGAACTCATAACTTCGATGATATTGAAAGCAGCCCAGCTGATATCATATCCCAACATTTGGATCTAAAAAATTCAGTAAGAATGGGAAGTATTAGGTGATTTGGTAATGTTTATAGACTAGAGGTGGTTAGAATTATGAAGTGGTTGAAGTAATGCAATGGTTTTTTCCATTTAATGCATTGAAACATGTAACTATTCTTGTATTATGTGTCACTCGAAATATTTTTTTTCTTTCTTATAAAACCATGTGTTTCCCTACATATCTCTCAATATTAAATGGTCAAATGAGCAATGGGTAAGTTACAAAGTTGGAAATGTTTACATAATATTTGTATCTTTAAACAAGAATGCATGAGACATTCCAGGCACATATATGAAAAGTAAATAATACGTATAATCTATAAAAATATGTATTACTTATGGCAAAATATCAAAGACAAAACTTACATAAACCAATTTGAGAGTTGCATTAGCTTTCACATTCGAATTTTCTTGCTTTAGTTCTTGTTTGATTTCATCCAAGCAAGTTGTAATGAATTTAGCCTGAAAATAAATGCCTTTACTTGTGAGATGCCTTTACTTTAATATTCATTCTTGAAATGTACATTCCACAGTACTGAAAGCTCATTTTTGTCAACTACACGAATCAACTTCAATTTAACATTTTGTTTTCTTCAATAACTTTGGGGAAAAACATCTTGCACAAAGCACCTAACTAATTAATTTAGTGCAGGCACTGAACATAAATTGTACACATCAATTTGCAATTCAAGTTACATTATTTTATCAATTGTCACCAAGGGAAGCACAACAGGGGCAACAGAGTTGCCATACAGCTTCCCCAGTTTTTAGAAATTAGATATTTAGCTTTTTTAGCTAGTGAAAATGTTGAAATAAGGATTTCAATCCTAAATATTAATATTTGTATATTCTGTCAGTGTGTACCCACTAAAATAACCTTATTTTGCCCTCTCCACTTTAAAAACAATGTGTTTCTCCTGATATTTCTCACTCAGATACAATTTTTATTTAAAACTTGGCCTATTCAGATTATATAATACATCTTTAATGATAATAATTCTACATGCACAAGTTCAGACACATGGAAATTTAATAAAATAGGCTAAAAAGAAAATATCAAAGTAAATACAAGAATGACATGAAAAATTCAGTTTTATTAATGCACTAGTCAGTCACGACAATCGATTTGCTTAATAGACCCTCATTTCGAGGCCTAAACATAAATGTTTTGGTGATGAGTACAAGATTAGACTACTAGACAGCTGGTCTAATTTTGTCTATTCAATTATCATTTATCAAATGTTTACAAAACAATTGAAGAAAACAATAATTGATAATTCAAAAGTTCATTTTAGATTGCACCCGTCACCTTTGTGATAAAAAAATTAGTCCTGCGATAAACGGCCTCAAGTACGAATAGAAATGGTGAGCATTTCAGACTCAGTCATATGATTTCAAAGTCAATAACTGGTCGTATGAAAACGACTCGCACCGTGTCACTGATGAATAAAAAAATAGCCATACCTCATTCTCCTTGTGGCTGCGAAGACCACGAACTAAATCCGTAAGATTTCTTTCAAATACCATTTTAAAATAGGAACGTATACTGCAAGGCTTACTTTAATTTTGATTTCTTGATTTTCTTCTTTCAATGTTTCGGAATATGCTAATAAACATCCATCAAAAGGTGGTATAATCGGAAACCGTTTCCGAACCTTTTTTCTCTTACTCCCAGGGGGGTAGTTGCAACCCACCAATTTTCAAATTGTTGTAATCTCATCAACAAAAAAAAAACTTCTCTCTTCCACTTCCGTTTTAATGAAAACCCAGCAACAAAGAACACCAAATTAGTCCAGAAAAAAAAACCACCTTAACTTATTACAAAATATTCATACATGAAACACGACATAAAACAACAAAAAAACACATATTGAAGAAAATCACTTTTACTTAAGTAGCAATTAAAGACGTATAATTAATGTTAACATTTTTGGTCATGTATTTCGTATACCAAGAGCTTGTTCTAACTCCGCTCTCTTCTGTTGGACCTTTAAAGATAAAAAAAATAACATATTCAACGATATATAAACGACTATTGTCCTTGGGATTGGTTCATCAATCAAGTCAGTTAAGTATTTAATGGCAAATTTAGATGGTGCAACGTTACTTTTATGAATTTACTGCGCACTTTTTTTGAGTAAATATTTTTGTGTGAAAAGACAGTGGCGGGTCTGGGGTACGTCAAAATAAATTACTGCAGCACAATTTGGAACATATTTACATTTCAAAGTACTTTAGAGGCATATCCATTGGTAAAACTATATTCTTTAGAAATTCAAAACCAATAGTGTTTTTCTGATAGTACTTTGAATTTAAAATTGAGCAGCTTTAATTTATTTTGACGAACGCTGGATCCGCTACAGCAAAAAGATGATCTCCTAAATTAGGTGCACACACCTTGGGTACAGCATTGGGAACAAACAGTAAGGTCACTCCTTAGAGTACACATTTTCTGACCAATAAGAACGTTGAAATGACTAACCACCTAACTAAAATGACTAACTGACAAAATTAAATTAAATATACAACAAGGTTGAACAGTAAAGTGGTCCGACTACCAACATTCAATGTACTGTGCCTTGGTCTTTTCAAACAGTACGTATAATTGAAAAGTAATTAGTGCAATATAATTGGTCAGCAGTTGCTTGATAACTAAACAAACCTTGCTATAGAAGTAACGACACACAGCTTCCTGGGACCAAGGAAGATAATAAAAGTCGGCTCTTCGTTCTTCTTCAGGATTGCCAGCAACATCTGTCATAATCTGGATGGTATACAAAAAATTGTTATATTTTGAAAAGCACTCATGAGCGTGGATTCGAAAAGTGCTACCTTCAAATCTCTATTTTGCGATGTTATCCACTTGTTAATAAACTCCTAAAAGTTTGAACGAAAAACGTATTTAATGATGTGAACAAGAAACGTACGTGTACGAACAAAACAAATCAATAAAAAAGAAATTTACCTGTGGACCTTGCGCAAATCCTAAAAAGAACTCTCTACTGACTTTTAATTGGTTTATTGTTTCAACAGTTTCGTGAATCTAAAAATGAAAGCAATCAAACACAATACATGATGTCATGCAAACTCTTAAGTTCTCTTGCACATAATGCCAACCTTGTTGTCAAGATTAGTTATTTCTTGTTGACTTGCAGTGGAAAGAAGAAAAGACTGCATCTGAGTCTTTAATGAATCATCCTAAAAAAATAATTCAACCAAACATAAGTCAACCGGTGCATAAGGTTTCAAATGGAAAGATGCAAAGATTATTTCATAACCAGTATATTACGTATAACATTGCCAACCCCGTGTATAAAACTTTGAACTCACCACTTCTACATCGACATCATAACACGTCGTTTTCTTTTCTCCTTTCCTACATAACAAAAAGATAGTAGAAAACCCCAGGTTCGAGTGAAAAATAAGTAAAAAATTATCAAAGCATTGTTAAGAAAATATGAGGTGAGAATTTACACAGAATTTCTACCTGATAAGATGTCGTATCACAATTGGATCTGGTGGGTAAAGCAACGCGCTTAAACGTTGTGGTATTTCATTAAATTTCATTCGAGGACATTCAAATATCTACAAAACAGTTGCAAACAGAAATTCAGAACCAGTAACATACTTTACGGATTGAGTCTTAACAATGCAGCAAATCTTATGTCAATGAATGATTAAACAAATGCCGCAGTTAACTTCGAGAGGATAATGGTGAATCCTGATTATAACATAAGCCAGCACCTGTTGAAAATATCCATCATTATTTATGCATTCCCTTTCGTTTGGATCTTGCAAATTATGGGTCTAAAACATAGAGATAAAATATTTTTTTAAAAATAGCGTCGATATTCTGCAAATACTGGTTTTCAAGACACATCAGTACAAATGAACAGGATGTTACGTATGTCCAACCTTGATATACTGCCACAACGCATTTATAATAACAGGTCGTGTTTGGGTGTGAATACCCAGTAATCTTGCGAGACGAGGATCGAGTTTATACTGAGCTGGTTGGTAATCTAGCAACAACATTATAGTACATTTGACTTTATCTTCTCCAGGCCGTTTTACTTGAAAACCGTCGGTTTCTTGAGTCTTGTCCGTTCTATGCCACTAAAAAAACAACGGAAAAGTTATTTATGGAGTGGGAACTGCTTGTGAAAAGTTACAACTTGAAGGTTGAGTGAAGCAAAAAATGATCCACACTTTTACATCAAATTTTTCCAGACTTGTACATCAAAACGATCCACAATTGTACGTCAAAATGGTCCACACTAGTATATCAAATTGATCCACACTTGTACATCAAAATGCTGGCAGTGAATTCGAATTTTAGACAAACGAATTGTTTTTTAAAAAAGTCGTTTTGCGAAACAGTTCGTAAGTAACGAATACAAATAAAAATAAATTGTAAAACAAACGGTAAAGAAATGATTATAACTAATCGTATTTTTGGAAATAAAACATATCATCGAAAATTGGGTTTTTCAGAACATTTGTATGACGCCGAATTTAATAACCTCAAACTTAGTAATATAAGGAATTAAGGATGGGGATATTTTACTTAAGCCTCAGACGATGTCCAACTATCGATGATACCTACTCCTTGGTTTCTGCCACACACTTTGTAATATAAGATTGTAGCTACATTCTCTACAAGAATGGTTCGTAATGGTTCATTGAAACCACAGACGATGTCCAACTATCGATGATACCTACTCCTTGGTTTCTGCCACACACTTTGTAATATAAGATTGTAGCTACACCCTCTACAAGAATGGTTCGTAATGGTTCATTTAAACCACAGACGATGTCCAACTATCGATGATACCTACTACTTGGTTTCTGCCACACACTTTGTAATATAAGATTGTAGCTACACCCTCTACAAGAATGGTTCGTAATGGTTCATTTAAACCACAGACGATGTCCAACTATCGATGATACCTACTCCTTGGTTTCTGCCACACACTTCGTAATATAAGATTGTAGCTACACCCTCTACAAGAATGGTTCGTAATGGTTCATTTAAACCACAGACGATGTCCAACTATCGATGATACCTACTACTTGGTTTCTGCCACACACTTTGTAATATAAGATTGTAGCTACACCCTCTACAAGAATGGTTCGTAATGGTTCATTTAAACCACAGACGATGTCCAACTATCGATGATACCTACTCCTTGGTTTCTGCCACACACTTTGTAATATAAGATTGTAGCTACACCCTCTACAAGAATGGTTCGTAATGGTTCATTTAAACCACAAACGATGTCCAACTATCGATGATACCTACTCCTTGGTTTCTGCCACACACTTTGTAATATAAGATTGTAGCTACACCCTCTACAAGAATGGTTCGTAATGGTTCATTTAAACCACAGACGATGTCCAACTATCGATGATACCTACTCCTTGGTTTCTGCCACACACTTTATAATATAAGATTGTAGCTACACCCTCTACAAGAATGGTTCGTAATGGTTCATTTAAACCACAAACGATGTCCAACTATCGATGATACCTACTACTTGGTTCCTGCCACACACCTTGTAATATAAGATTGTAGCTACACCCTCTAGAAGAATGGTTCGTAATGGTTCATTTAAACCACAAACGATGTCCAACTATCTCGATGATACCTACTCCTTGGTTTCTGCCACACACTTTGTAATATAAGATTGTAGCTACACCTTCTACAAGAATGGTTCGTAATGGTTCATTTAAACCACAAACGATGACCAACTATCTCGATGATCCAAACTTCACGTTACTATATTAAACTCTTACGTACATCCGTTTATTTAAAACTATAACATTAACAAATTCTTGCAACTGTACCTCAACCAAATGATTGTCAGGACCGTAAAGATCTTTATCTAGCTCTATCACCAAACTACGAAAAAATGACGAGAACTTTCTTTTCTGTTTTGTAACTTCGGGTTTTACTCCTTGCTGTGAAGAAAAGTTCGTTAATTCAGTGAGGATTCACTTTCTCATTTACAACTTTTTTTTGTCTTATCTGTTCATATACAGTACCGCTCGCGTATTTTTTAACATAATTTTGCGTATGATACGCGTATGATAAGCGTATCGTTCTTGTATCATACGCGTATCATTCTCGTATCATACGCGTATCGTTCTCGTATCATACGCGTATCATTCTCGTATCATACGCGTATCGTTCTCGTATCATTCATGTATCGTTCTGGTATCATACGCGTATCGTTCTTGTATCATACGCGTATCATTCTCGTATCATACGCGTATCCTTTTCGTATCATTCATGTATCGTTCTGGTATCATACGCGTATCGTTCTGGTATCATACGCGTATCGTTCTCGTATCATACGCGTATCGTTCTCGTATCATACGCGTATCGCTCTCGTATCATACGCGTATCGTTCTCGTATCATACGCGTATCGTTCTCGTATCATGCGCGTATCATACGCGTATCCTTTTCGTATCATACATGTATCGTTCTGGTATCATACGCGTATCGTTCTCGTATCATACGCGTATAATTCTCGTATCATACGCGTATCGTTCTCGTATCATACGCCTATCTTTCTCGTATCATACGCGTATCGTTCTCGTATCATACGCGTATGTTTTTCGTATCATACGCGTTTCATACGCGTACCGTATGTTAACAAATAGGTGAGCGGTACTATATCCTACATACATCATCCATAAGCTTCCCTTCCACACGAAGTTCCCACGATGGAACGACGGAATCCTCGTCCTGGGAAGAAAAGAAAAATTTCAAAAAAGTCACATTCCTCTGTCATGGCTTTGAGTGATCTGCATTAGGTAACAATAAATATGAAAAAATAGTACTAACTATTATGTTTAATGAAACCTACTTCTGCGTCAGGACGAGCATTGTGGAAATGAGTGGTTAAGAAAACCCTCAGCTTTCGTTTTTGCTAAAATAATAAAATAACACCGCATTTTATTTTTACCTATGTAGCAGAAACAATGAAATTATCTTCCAAATTAACTTCTATACCAGAATATTTTCATAAGCTGATTAACAATGAATAAAACATAATTAACGTGAAAACTATAGTACAGTATAAGCTGGAAAATAGGAAATTGTGCATTATAGGATAGTTCCATTAAGACTGCTGAAGTGACTATATTATCTGACCAACATAAAGTACATTAAACAGCTTTTGCAAAGGCAACGCGACCTCAACTAGGACGTCTAAATGTTGAGGAGAACTGGGTCGAGGACGATGTTGTGTTGTCAACTTATTTTGGTTGAGGATTTTTGAGACGGGGAGTCGAGGAAATGAAAATTTATAGTTCACTTTCAAAGAGTTTATTTTCTCCGATGAGACGAGTTAAAAACACATATTCCTAACGAAATTCAAATGTTTGTTCAAAAAATAGTGAGTTGGAATTGTTGTGTTTGCTAAAGCTGTCTATTGTCTCCAGGAATGACGTCAGTATAACAGCACCTAAATACCTCTAAAAAAAAATAACATCAAAATTTTCATTTCAACCTTAACTGGTCTCTTTAATGCTTCTTGAATATCAAGTCTTTTTCTCATTATTGTTGAATCAAGTTTACGTTCAAATGCTAGTAAATCCATGTATGCTTGAGATTCTGGAACAAGTTCTTGAACCTATTATAATTTTAAGAACAATGAATCCACTAGAATTATATAGTTTGGAAGTCGAGGTAACATCATTATCTACTTTAATCATAAAAGAGAAAAAGATGATGTATTTAATTTTTCCTTGGCGATAAAATCTCAGTAAAACATACAAACATATCTTTCTCACTCAGATAGGAAAATGTACTGTAGTAAAACAAAAACAACTGCTTATTCTACACAAGTATTAAATGTTATCATCAGTAGATTATTCTATTATTAATAAATATCAATGATCAATATTATCTTTCATTTTCTACTGATAATAACATGTATTACTAGTCAGGCATTTAATGTAAATAATGTTTACTTTTTGCCAAATGTCAATTTTTTGTGTTTTATTAAAGAACTGTTTGGCAGTCCTAAACTATATCTAACAACACAATTGAAAATTGCTTCATTTTTTAAATAACTTACCAAACAGAACAAATGAATAAAGATTCCATTGGTTGAAAATGTAATTAAATGTAATCTGTTAACAATAATATTTATAAAAAAACATACACGTTGTGGTAATACTTTATCGCCAACTTTTCTCTTTTTTCTGCAAAAGAAGATTAAGCTATGTCATAAGTTAATTAAAATATAACATACTAAGATTATTCAGCACACTGGGAAAGTGTCTTAACTTCATAATTTCTATTGTGGATCACATATGAGTGGAATCAAGACTAGCAAGGTGAGTTGCTTCATAAGGATATGTACAGTCTTGTTTATAATATGTCAAAATTTTAATCTTATATTTCAAAATTTATTTAAATTTTTTACATTCTATCATTTACGTTTTTTTAACCCAAATTTATTAACAAAATTTTTTTTAAAATGTACTCACACACGTCTGTTGCTTTTGGGGTCAGGTCGTTTCCTATCAACCTGTGATGTTCCACCTGCATTAGCAAAAGAATGGCCACCCATTCTGGAAACCTGAGATGGGGCATTTGATCGCTGTAAATGTGAGCAGAATGTATGACTAACTTTTAAAGAATGGCAACTTGTGTAAATTGCACACCATATACTTTACATAGCAAGTGTAAAATGAATGATAAAAAAAATACATGACGAAAAAGACATATATATATATAAGTTTTTGGCTGATAGAAAAGTATATTATTTTGAAGACAAATAAATACTCGTCAGCAAAGACATAGTCGAAAATTGGAAGTTTATACACATTTAGTGACCTCATTTTCCCATAGTTTGATAAGAAAGATGTTGTTTGGAAATAATTCTGAAGTCAAAGTTTAATACGAACAACATTTACTTTACCGCTTGAAAATGAGCCTGATTGAACTGTTGAGGTCTTTGAGCCATCATCTGCGGTTGAATTGTCCCAGTCATAGCCGCCATGCTAGAAATACAATGAAATAGAGATTTGTACAGGAGGGCAAAGTTGATCGATGGTTTAAATTTTGTAAAGACAAAGGCGTGCTTGCAGAGAATCATGGGAAATGTACCACCTCAACCATTTTAGCTTTCCCTAATGATATTCATTAGAAAGTAGTAAATGGGCAGTGTGATTTATGATTGTCTACTCATGCAAAAAAAGCAGGAGCCATCATCGTGTAGAAATATGTGTCAATTAATATGAAATGTGACAAAAAGGACAAAAGAAATGTTGCTGCACGCACATCGAAATGTGTTAAATCTTAAGTAAAATACTGAATCAGTGAACTGAATGTAATGATTAATACTAATAAAAAGTAATATAATTAATAAATATGTTTATAAAGGTACTGAATAGAAAAGATTTCTCACTCGCCATGCTAGCAAAACAAACCCGCTAAAACTAATGAACGAAGTTGTTTTCGAATTTTGAGTGTCGATCGAGATCCTATAGAATATTTTCGTCAGGGGATACGTGTTCGTTCTCTACAAAAAAACTAATGATTGAGTTCGGGTCTCAAATGATATTAAGAATTAGCATGTAGTAAAAACTGCATTAAAATTGCAAAAATACCAGTTTTTTCTAAAGCATAAACCACGTGACTTTGTGCTTGCCTTTATCTTTTATCCATCTTTTTATAAAAAGTGATACCATAAGATATACTTACATCACTTGAAAACACTCACTCGCTTTTTAAAAAATTTTCCCTAATTTTTAACAATTTTTAAAAAAGTGTTCCATATTTCATATTTGCACAAATGCAAGAGAAGGACAAAGTCATCAAAATATGACAATTTTATGCAAACCAATAATCTTCAGTCAGTTCTTCATTATTAACATAAAGGTATAAATATCAATCATTTATAGATAATCACTTTTAGCAAAGTAACTTTTTGGTTATATACTTGTATAGTGTTGTATCTATAAAATGGCAAAAACACTTCTGTGCGTTGTCTTTCTCTGTTTAATGACACAGGTGAAGTTTTTCAATGTTACTAAATATTTCAAGTAGCTTATAGTTAAAACTTTTGCTATGTACAGACTAGTACTTGTCATTCATTACCAAAAGAAATGTTTGAGAACGCTGGATGCTGAAACGTTAAAGTTTTTTGATAAAGTACTTCGTAAAATGCTTAAATTAAAGATAATTCCTTAACTCGTTACATCTTCAGATTTCTTCGTTCAAAAAATGTCGTTTTTATCGTGACAATGGAAAGCAAACCGAAGTAATGTAAGTATAACTATGACTTGAATGTACATCATCAGAAATGTCCCAGTAATTGCTGTAAATTTTTAAATATGAACACGACAACACATAACCACGTGGTTTTAATTATAGTTGTACAAATTCAGAGTATTGTTGTGAGAATGGTTGTTGCGGTGAAATTCTGCCAGTTCATTATATTTGGTATGTTTCTTTAGCTTTGCTATTTCAAATAATTTATTCTGCTTGTATAAAACAATCGCCACTTTGGTTTGCTGAAATGTACCATTGAATAAGGCATGACACTTTTAGTTGACTTTTAAATAGCTATACATATCTGATAAGTACTAGAAGGTCAGACATAATCATTTAGTCCTTAATTTACCAGAAGACCTTTCAATTGAAACAAAATTTTATATGTTCAAATTTTTTAGGTTGTTGGTTGTTGCTGCTTTGTTTATTGGTACAATCTTCTATTGGTGGTACAAAGTGAAGAAACAACACAAAAATACGACAATAATTTAACTAATCACTATTCAACAACATGATCCACTTGCCAACTCCCCCAAACAACTTCTGTGAATCCACCAAATTCTTCCTCTAATACTTTGACAGTTCCACTAATATCTTATTCTGTGGCAAATGACAACCAATAAAGGAACAACCAGTCCATAAAAATCATTATTTGACTATTAAAAAATGCATGCCTTGAAAATATTTTGCATCACATAATTACTATTTTTAATTATTTTGTAACTATAGCCTAGTCTTATTAAAATAAGATTCATTTTCATTAATGGTTGCCAGGTTGCAGTTTTTTATATAGAATACCAGATCATACTAAGGAGTTATAAACTAAGGTCAACTAGTTCAATCAACAAAAAGTTAGGCATTTATAGTAAATTTCCCAATAATTATAAGTAAGATAAAACCCAAAATAAGCGTCAAGGACTATTTGCATGCCTTGTGGAAATCTTTGGAAATTAGTGTGACTGCACAACAATATTATGAATATAGGTCAATTTTTATTGGCTCAATTATATAATTGTGTTATCTACACCTTATTAAAGGCAGCAATATCTGTTGATTGAACAAAGTCATCAAATTTGGCAATTTCCTCTTGCAAATCATCTGTGCCAACTTTATCATCTTCAACAACACAAGAAATTTGTAATTTTTTTACACCATAGGCCAGTGGGACTAATTTACTTGCACCCCAAAGCAAACCATCTTTTTCAATACTTCTGACAAGTTTTTCAACTTCAGCCATATCTATAAAAGGCACATTTCCATAAGTTCAAAAGCAACAGAAAGAAACACTTATACTCTTCGTTTCAAGTAACTTTAAAAAACTAGAGTGTTGTCTGAAAGTTCAAGGAGAATTTCAAAATATTCCAAAGTTTGTTTCAATGCAACCCATAGAATGCAAGTTTGGAGGTGCTTGTTTATAAATATGTTTAAACATTCAATAGAATACTCAATGCAGTTTTTTAAGGCAAGTAAAATCAAGGCATTATACATGACAAAATCATTGATTAGTTTACCAGTTTCATCATCCCAAGGCTTTACATCAATAACAATATTAGATTTTGCAATCACAGCAGTTTCTAAAAAAACACAATCAATCAAAGGAGAAAATAGTACAAAATTTTATAAAGAACGAAACATTAATAAAATTCAAGAATAAGTTTACATCTACTTTTTGCCTTTCTTTCGTTGTAGGCTGCGATTCGTTCCTCTTTTAACTTTTCAGCAGCTGCCTAAAGTAATAAGGATTTTGTAAATAGAAATTTGCTGAAAAGTAAATGTGCTGAACAAAAGTAAACTGCCAACAGCAATATAGGATATTGATTAAAATGAAAACATTTTCCACAACATAATCACATTGTACATGATGTAATTTACTTCATTCAAAATTAATACATTTGAATATATAATGAATAATGAATACATAAATTTTTCCCACGTTCTCCTTTCATTTTCACAGAAAACTAATTTATACAACAGAATTTTACTTGTTGCTAGACAAATGTGCTATGAAAATTTTTCTCCATTCACTTACTGTAAAAAAAATTAACAGATTTCTAAAAAATGAGTGATTGTAATATTATGAAATTTATACAGCCAAATCCATTGTGAAGTCAATAATTGAGTTTCACCATCACTTAAATTGCTTGTTTTTTAAGAATCAAACCTTTTCCTCTTCGGTATCACTGCCAAACAAATCTTCATCATCATCATCATCGTCATCATCATCATTAGATTTTGAAACAGAAGGTCCATAAGAGGATAATGGTTTTAGGTCCAGAGAAGCTGGCAGCCTCATTTCCATATGACAAAATGTGATTATACCACCGAAGTGCATGACTAAGGTCAACACTGGGTGCATTTCCCATAGCTTCAAATACTATGAAATCTGCTTGAGATGGTTGATACCTGAGGAAAATGTTTGTGTATTAATGTACCATATGTAACACTTTATGTTACATGTATAAACTATCTTACCAAAACTACAATTAGCTTAGTAAAACTTGTTAGTTCAAAGAAGTTCTGTTTTCTGTCAAAAAAGATCCTTAAAATGTTTTGATTTTCTCATCTTAAAGTCATTGCAGAAGTGTTATATTTAAATATCACCTAAATTGATACCAAAATTTTAGTTGAAACATATTAAACAGAAGTTGATAAAATTGCTTTGCTTCTTGTTACCATTAACAATGCATATGAATTTTATTTTTTAACTTATCAACAAATATAAAAGCCAAATAACCAGTAATTAAGTCAATATTCATTCAAATTAATTCTTAACTACTTCTCGTAGTACAATTAAATAACAATAATACCCCTATCTACTTCCATCCAATTTCAAGAATACAGATCCCAAAAGTTATAAGATAACAATTTAAAAAGGAATTTGCTATATTATATAATAAATATAAGGAAAAATCTATAAATGTACTATTCTAAAAATTTATAAATGTACACAACAAGAAAGTACACTGTACACGTGGGCCATGCCATGCCAGACTTAAGCAAACCATAAAATCTGACACAGCCCTGTATTTAAAGTATTTTAAGCATAAATTTACCCCTCGATATAACTTTTATCAGCCAAGTATTCATTTAAAACCTTTTGACCAGATTTTACTTTTAAATCACCGAAACCCATGACAAAACTCGGTAAAAGACGATGAAATGTGTAGAAAAATAGAAATATCAATTGTGAAAATACAAAATGCAACCTGCATGCAGGCTAAGCCTAAGAACAATTGCCAAAGAATGACCAGCACTCCCAGCACTGGACCAGCACTCAGGCAGTGACCAGACCAGTATTTTATTTTAATATTTTAATGCTTTGCGCTCTTTTGCGCCTGCGCATGAGTTTTGTAAAGGGACTTTTAAAGTAGAGGCACAGAATAGATACGTAGAGGAAGGAAAGCCATTGATGGAAAGATACCCATTTACAAAAACTTCTAGCAAACTCTAAGTCCATTTCTCCCAAGCATATATTGTTGTCAGTTTTTGCTTAAATGAAGTTTTTGAAAATACTTCATTATTTTTCTTCAATAATGATCACTTTAATCAGTAATGCATCTTTATATTTCTCTTCATGATTGAGTAAATGAGAAATGGTGGTGAGAAATTGTACTTTTTTGCAAAGCAGTATACTTAATCTTTGTTAAATCTCAGTTATAAATCCCAGTGGTATTACGGCCGGGATTGAGATTCCTTGAGAAATCCATTACAGTCAAAAAGATATGATTTCTATCACTTTTTTGGGGGGACACCGCATAGAGCTCAATATTCCTAAGTACCTACATACATCTCCCACTAAATCTGACCTAAGTCACCTAAGTTACACCCCTGATTTAGACGGAGGTTTAAACAACAGTTTCCATTGTGCAAAAATATAAAACCATAAAACAAATTATGGATTACATTTATTAAAATATAAAAAACTAAAAACCATTTTATTTAGAATTATTTTATCTTCGGCTTTTATGAACTTTATCGCCATTCTTTCTATCGACCTCTGATTAATTTGACTACTTTCGCCCGTTAATGGCATTGTTGAAGTTGGAAACCGATGGCAGAGGTACTCTCTGGGCACTTTTATCGGGAAGAAGTTTACACTCTTCTCGCAAATACGCAGAGTACGCTGGGACGGTAATACTGAATGAAAAAGAAACGCAATTCATTAGATAAGCTGTTTTGCAAAAATAATCGACCAAATTTTTACAGTTATAAATTCAGTTCAATATTGTTAGCTATTGACCATATTAACTTCTATTGTTGGATCCGTAAGAAAAAATAAAACAACTCTCTCATTCGTTAATAATTCAACAATTTTGTGCCTTCTTATCTTATTGTTATTTTTTCCTCTCAAGCTAACTGATTGGCTGCAACAGTGGTCACCTATTCACCTTTAACAATATCCTGAGAGTGCTTTGAAAATGTTTTAGCAAGAAATTGTTTGAATCGGTTGGATTGATTCAAAAGCCAAAAGGTCAAAGAAAAAGAAAAATCCAGACAATGATAAAAAAACCGACCTTTCAATTAAGCATAAATACTTGATACTTACCAAGAAGTCATAATTGCCATACATTCTTGCTTATTTATAGCAAACATGCGAAGTTTCATGTCACTGGAGCAAATACTTCCTCGTAAGATTTGGCAGTAAGTTTCAATGAAACGTTGTTTGCATGTTTTATTTGTAAATGCATTAACGAGTCTGACATTAACCTGCTTCGCAAAACCTTTTGCAAAAATGGAGAATGCCTTTACGAGTGCAGCAGGGTACTAGAAAAATAAGCAAAGAAGACAAATTGGACGCAGTTTGTATGCTCGTCATCATGTAGTTAATGTAAAAACAGAAGAGTTTACAAACTGTGCATAACTTTCACTTTTAGTATAAAACCAAGAAATTGAAGATACATTGACACAATGATATTTTAGTGTGCTAACTGTACTTTCATTTGTTGTAAGATGATATCAAAATCGTGTTTTTTAATGCTCTGTTTATTAGCTATTGTATATCTATAACATAAAGGAAACCATTTTCAAAAGCCTTACTAAGCAGATTTCAGTACACTACTAAACAATACAATTAGGAATGAAAAATGTAATATACCATATAATTCGTTGCTGGACAAATATCACCAGCTACTACTGGAGGTTTGATGCAATATGAATATTCAAATGGATTTCTTTGGATGACAGAACAATTAAAGGTGATTACATCTTGAACATCTTGTGGACAAACTCGTTTGATATTTGCACATGCTGTCTCTGTTCGCTTTACATCAAATGCCAAGCGAAAACCAAAGGGCGACTGATTATCTGGAGTGCATTTCATGATATTGTTTGAGCATGAGTATTCACGTACACAGTGCATACAATCATGACTGTGATTGAAGAAAGGCATGGAAGCAAGTTTAATTTTAATTACTTGCAAGCTTAACTGGAATAATTTATCAGGAGCATTATTTTGGCCAACGATCTGATGATCAAATGAAGGACACAACGAATTACTTGGCATGTTAAAACAGCGAGCCGGTACACTCTGGTTCATTTCAAGATAACCTGATCCAATGATTGCTCCCGAGGTGATATAGCTGAGCGACAGGAGAACAAGAAGTTTCGCAAAAGTCATTTTAAATTTTAAGAAGAGACGCCAAATTAATAGTAAATGAATTTTGGGTTATGACTGCGATAACATATTGGTATTGTCTTTTATAGCAAACTTGACGTAGTGGGTGTAAGACAATCGTCTTTCGCTAGACCATCTAGAATTTCTGCCAGATAGATAAAATTGTCAACAGTGTAAATAACAGTGATATTTCCTGCAGATGGTGTAAATATAATCGGATTTGTCTTTCAATTGTATCGTAATTAAAACAATCCGCTGAAATGTAGTCAAAACATGGGACTTATTGCTTGTTCGTTTTCGAACTTCTCACAGAAACTATTAATTTTAGATTCAAAATCAATAAACGTGTTCTGAAATACGTTGAATGAGACTGCTGTTTCTTTTCTTTGAAATATTGAAGAGAAATTTTGCTGTTTCATTGTTACGTAATGATGGACGGTTGCTGTAGCATACGTAAGATTCTAGTTACTGAGATACCCCGCGTAAAACTCCGCGTATCAGAACCGAAAATTTTTGATTTGTTTATACAGGTCATTGTATGTAAATGAACTTATTGCGATAAAAAACTGAACAGGTTTTAAATAGTATACCAGGCAAATATTAAAGTAAATGTGACTTGTCATATATAGGATTCTACTTTGTGGGTGATTAAATACTTTGTGAAGAGTTTAAAACATTAAATCCAAAGAATGAAGCAACAAGCAGAACATTAATGCGAGTTTATTTTAGCGGCGAAACCTTTTCGCAAATTTGTTGATTAAATGGTCTCCACTGCTACATGCTAATGTAAGATAACAGATGACAACACAAAAGATATAATACCGATTGTTGACATATTGAATCATAATTCCATCACCAAACGGACAGCCAAGAAAAACCTGTAAGGACTTGCATTTTCCATCAGCGTTTAATTTGTCATTTGGATAACAGAAACAAATTTTAGAAGAACAAGAGCATCCTTAATTTTCTATTTCTATACATGGGACAATTATATACAAAACAAGTTTTTAGCTAAATGAGTTTCACATCGTATGCACTATCCGCTGTTGTAATGTCGTATTCGGTGTCATGCAGTTAGTTAAATAATGGTTAAATCGCGTTGCGCAAAAGTCAATGAATGAAGCTCTAACCAAAGAAAAGTATAAAACAAATCCGGGATAAGCAAGACTAATATGTAAATCTGCTTATTCAGTTCTGCGTACTGTTTATGTTTGAAAGATGGGCAAAATTTAAGGTCTTTCATACAACTTGCCCGTCCTCTAATATCTATAAGAAATGGGGTTGAATAGAACCTGTGTATCTTTAAAGGATTACGGTTTACTTGATGACAAGAATTTCCATTCACTCATTTTTGTCGTCGTCGAGATTAACTAAAAAACCAAAAACACATAAGGAACAAATTAAATTTTTAAACTGTTGTTAAAATGATCTTTCCAGATGTTGTTTAATTTGGTTTATATTACGTCCCATCGTTTTCAAAGTTTTTCATGGAATTCTCATAAATCAAACAAAGAATTTTTCAATCTGAAAAAAAACTGTGAAAAATAGTGATAGCTACTCAGCATCAATCTTCTTTCATATATGGTATGACAATAAATTACCAAGTCGTACATTAATTAGTATTAGCATAAGCATCTAATAAACAACATCAAAAACATATATGTCGACTCCCGTAGACAACAAACAGTCTCTTAGATCAGATTACATATTTCAAGCTCATTTAAAAATATTACAATTTTTTTTTAAACCATACGGTGTCAATTCACAATGCAGATGGTAAATGAATTTTTTCTCTTTGCACTAAGCTAGCTACATGATTTATGAAAACTAACATTACCTGATGTTTACTAACACAACATAAGCTGATTTATGTAACTGTGAAAGAAATAACTTTGCTGAAAATTACTTTTAATGTACATTGATTTAAATCTTACATTTTTCTTAACACTGAATTATCTAAGGTCGCTTTAAAACAGAATATAGTTATTACTAAAAAGATTAAGGGAATAAATTATAAATGACAGATAATCGTGGCTATATTCAAGGAGTGATTGTTTTGTTCCAGCAACTGGCGATTGTTTACACATTCTGTCGTTGCTTTAGTTCTCCTATTTATAACCTAGTGATAGCCGGCAACTACGAGATTATGGATCAAAAATGCTAAAAGCATATTTAAAACAATTAAGCTTAAACAAAAGTGTTACTAAAATACGTCTTGACAGAAAAAAGGCAGCTTTCCTTCTCAAACATGGTGGTTTAGTCTCTTGGTTGCTATCAAGTAGATTCTTCGTCCATTTCAACCTTCGGCAATGGAATTAATGCTGCCTTGTTAGCGTCAGGGAATAACTCACACATGGTCAAGAAATATGGTCGAAGATTGGAGACGTGACTTACGTAAGGCCCTAATAAGCTGAGAAGAATAACATATCCAAGTATAAATAACGAGAGTTCACATAACATCTTACGTCAAATAAATTCGATACATATCAACAGTGTCATACTGGTGACCACAGGCGGTAAATGATGACAGCCATATTCAATATTAACACAGTTGAAAAGAGACACAGACATATACAACTCAACATGTCGAGCACCGTCAACAGCTTAATTGCCAAAAATCAGTATTATTTTATAAATTCGTTGCATTTTCGGTAGCTGGCCATTACATTTTATCAAAAGTTTTTAGCGTTTTTCACGATGAAAAATTTTTTCGAAAATTCTTCTAATTCACTTTTTGAAAATGGAATGTCGAATTAGCTACAAGTCCACGCGTGTCTTTTTACAAAGAGAATTTTAAATTCTAGTAATGCTTCTGCTTAAGAAAGCGAATGATAGGATCAAATGTTATTCAGGGTTCTATAAACATCAGAGGAATAATTGAAAAAAGGCGAAAAATTGATCCTTACCAACGCTTTATATCAGCGATACATTGTTGTTGACTGATGACGCACATCCGCAGAGTTTTGTCACTGGAACAAATTGGACCTTGTAAAACTTGACAGTTGATTGCTCGAAATCTTTGATCACAATAAGGTGAAAAATTGAGGAGAGGTGCAATACTGGTGTACGTCAAATTAAATCTTGCCATATTTGAACGGTAAAATTCCACATGAGATTTCGGAAACTGAAATGATTGACAACGTTAAGAAGTTACAGCAATGTTGTTTACAGATAAATAGTTGTGAGATTTACATGTCTTATGTTTACGATAAGCAGTAAACTGACAAACAATAAAAATACCAGAAGCAAGAATTTCACTTATAGGATGTACCTGAAACTTTGTTTTTCGACAAAAATCTCCACGAATTTTCGGTATCTTAGTGCAATGCTCCAAATCATGGAAATCTGTCATTATATTTGTGCAGTTATTGATGGTTGCTTCTTGAACAGCGTGAGGGCACTTTTGTTTTATTTTAACACAGGCCAATTTCGTACGAGTGATGTTATATTTTACGTCCACACCATATTTCTGGCGCTTATCTTTGACGCAACGTCCAAACGTATTTGAGCATGCGTATTCGCGAACAGCATCTTTGCAAGTGTGGGAAACATCTTTAAAATAATGAAGGGAAGTCATCATGAGTTTTACTGAGTTCAAGCCAACTTTTGAGGTGCTGTCTTTGTAGTTTAGACCAAAAACCTTGTAGTTGATCACACTTCGTGGACATTGAATGTTTCTTGGCAGGTAATAGCAACCAATTGTCGGGAGAGATCCGTTGTGTAGCACATAAGCTTGGTCAACATCTGCACCAGCTTTGCATATGATTGCTGCAAATAGCACCAACTGTAAGAAATCCATATTCAAATTTGCTTTGCTCCTTCGAGTTCCAAAAGCCAGTATGTTATGCGAAGAAGCAAAATCGCGATGCCTTTTATAGACGTTGGGTAAAGTACTGAGCATGGGCAACAAAGTAATCTTGTTTACAAAAATTATTTAGTCTCAAAATACTTTGATCCCGTGCGCTAAGGCGTTCCTGTCAAATTCTCCATTCTTAAAATTTGTTACGTACGGTCATATCCTTGAATGACATTGCATAAAATGTGTCCACACTCATCTGATCATCATTCTTGGTTAATAACATGCACAAAATGATCTATCATTAAGGAGACAATAGATTCAAACTCAGTTTAGTTTTGGAGAAAATGATAGTATACAATCCTTTGAAGTGGTTTACACATTTTAAGAAAACCTCCTCGGAATATATGCAATTTTTTTTACAAATATCAAAGTTACACCAATATGACCAATAAAACAAGCCCGAAATGATAAGGCAGCAAGCAATCACGAGGAAAGGCGCACCTAACTAACCCCCCGTCACACCCCGACCAAGCCTCCATCGTAACCATTGTCTAGGTTTTAAGGTACAAAGAGAATGAAATACGAGAACAGGTGAATTTCTAATGACACGCAAACATGTGAATACAATTTAAAAGTATTTTATAGTCATAGGTTTCAATAAAACACTAAACTTTCATTTACTATGTTTTGCACATGCTACAAGATGAAGACAAAGCTTAATCACACACATCCATCTCCACCCCCAACAAGCCTTCGCTTTAACCACCTAGGTACATTTACATTGTGTACAATGCCCTGTTTGTTTTTCCTGGATAGAACACGATCATCTAACAAATATTTGGAAAAAAACTGCGAAAACTTCCTATCGGAAGCCACACAGGGAAAATTGTACCAGAATATCCTCGATCATGTTTTCCACAAACGAGACAAAACATTTTTACAAAAATTCAAAACATTGCAATATATTGTTGGACTGACAGCAATTAACAATATATGCAGATCTAGAAAAGCAATACAATAACCAATCAAGTATTTTGTTTACTTTTATAGAGATATCAAAAACCTTTTACATCATTAAAAACAAATGTTCATCCCGCCCATAAAAAATCGCACCCACAGGTTATGCACAAGAATATTTAAAATTTGTCAAAGATCCAAGAGTAAGATTGCATGTTCTTTTTAAAACAATAATATTACAATGAATCTTTTACCGCTTGGCGACTATTCTTCATCGCATACACTATATTATACATTTTAATTCGTATAAAAACGTCCAAATGTCAAACATTGTAAAAATTCAACGTATAGATTGTTTTATGATAGATTTCGAACATTTTTTAGCATTTTGCTGTTTTTTCTTTGAAACTGGATCAATAGCAAAACACTTCCATAGACGCAAGGTTTCGTCTGCAGATCCGGAAATGACCGTTTGACCATCGGGACTGAGTACCATATGCAGGACACGACATGAATGACCAGTTAATTCAGTGACTTTAGACATACTCGGATATTTCCAGATTGTAAGCTGATTATGTGCGTATCCATGGCTAGATATTAGTTCTTTAGAATGATTTGACCATAAAATTGAACAAACCTGTAAAGTAAAAATATAGTTTGTCATGCCTAAGATATAAAAAGACTATTTAGTTGTAATCGCCGTCACGAAGGGGGTAGTAAATAACTAAAATGCCATTAATTTAGGAATTCCTTATCACATGCACATTATTACATCATAAATATCGTTGAAAATTCTCTTCATTATTTATACCTGTGATTTGGTATCGATAGCGTTTAGACAAACACCAGTAGCAGCGTTCCAAAATCTTATGTGTCTGTCAGCTGTGCCGCCTCCACTCGCAATAACATTGCGTTGAAATGGACACCAATCTAAAGCCTTTAGAAAACAACGAATGTACAATTTCTTCGTTCAGACTGGACATAAGTTATTTCTTCGTTTAGACTGAAAATTTTAACAATCTACACCGAGCATTTTGCAGTTAATGAACAATTTTTTGGCGTGAAAACACGCACAACATGGAAGATGAAAACCTCTGATTGCTCAAAATAATGAGAACGATAAGGGGACTTTTCATTTAGTTCTGTGCATTACCTAAGAACAACTTAGTATAGATAGTCGACAAAAACAGAAGAAGATATTGCGAGATACTTTAGAAGGAAAATCGAGATAATTCGAAAACGATAATAATCGATCAATCATAGTTGATAAGGTTGGCTTGATTACATGGAAATCTTTCGTCATTGAGAAATGCTTCTTAAAAAAGAATAGCAAGAGATATATCATGACAAATACGTGATGTGTCATAAAAGATTTCGTCGGAAATACCTTGACAGCTGCCTGATGATGGGTCAAGGTGAATAATGGTGAACTCATATCACCACTTGAATTGACATTTGTGTCCCAAATTAAAAGAAGATTATCATTTCCTCCACTGGCCAAATACTTGCCATCACGTGACCATTTGAGCCCACACACTTCCTGTGAGTGACAATTTAATGTAGCCACCTGATGATCAGCAACTCTGACGTCATGGTGGTGAATCGAACCACTGCGACTTCCGCTATAGTTGAAAGATTTGATTTAATGATACTTCATTTCTCAAATATATTAATATTTTGACCTGATCCTACCTAGATAATATAAACGAATTCCATGATAATGACCCAACTCGAGCGGCATGTCCCGTCATTTTTCGCACACGTTTTTTATGCTCAACATCCCAAAGCTGAAATATCGTTGATGAGTTCATTTTTGAATGTAACTATCTCAAATAAACGAAATATTCCACCAAAATATTCACTTTTAACGCAACAAAGCATCGCCATTGATAAATAATATTCATCAGACTACAAAAGGATGTATTTAATCAGCCGCTGCAATTTCTGATTAATGGCAAAATTGTTTGCTTTGTGAAAATGCTTGCTGTGTGGTTATCTTTAAAACAGGAAATGGGGGAATAAAAGAACAGTGAAGGGAATGAGGGAAAGGAGGTGAACGGTGAAGGGAATTAGGGAAAGAATGGAAACGATGAAAGGAGGGAAACGATGAAGGAATGGGAAGGATGGAAGGAAGGAAAGATGGAATGGAATGAAAATGGATGGATGGATGGAAAAGGAAAGGAAAAGGAATGGAAATGGAAGGAATGGGAAAGGGATGGATGGAAAATGGAAAGAAAAGGAAAAATGGAAAGGAAAAAATGAAAATGGGATGGAGAAATGGAATGGAAGAAAGAATGGATGGAATGGAATGAAAGGAAATGAAGGGAAGGAATAAGGAAAGAAAATGGAAAATGGAAGGGAAAATGGAAGGAAGGAATAAAGGGAATGGTGAAGGAAATGAGGGAAGGGATGGGATAGCAAAATATCTCAACAATTTTATGGAAGACGCAATCTTCAGTCAACATGGACGTGAAAGCACTGAATGAATACAATTGCTAACTTAACTTAACTTAACTTAATTAGATCACTCAACCTTCTCTCTAAAGATGCATCAATAATATTGACTCTAAGGCCTGGGAATTACGTCAAATTGCCAAATTAGATCACTCAACCTTCTCGCTTAAGATGCACCTATAATATTGACCCTAAGGCCTAGAAACAGCGTTAAATTGCCAAATCAGATCACTCAACCTTCTCTCTTAAAATGCATCAATAATATTGACTCTAAGGCAACTCAATTAAATTACGCTATGACGTTGTTTTAACACGATACATATAGTCATTATAACTCATTGCAGAAGTTTTACAAATATCTATGTCAACTGTAAAAAAATTTGAATGACAAACAGGGTGTATCGAAAAAAATGAGAAGCAAGGAAAACGTCGCTTAAGTCATCACACACAAGATTTCGAAAAATTTTTGGTGAAAATAGTTGGACTTCAAATGATCGGACAGTAAAATTATTTCAAATGATAAAAAAATTTAAGGTGAAAATTGTGTTACCAAAAGGCATTTTTGAATTAGTTTCAAATGCCAGAATATAAGTTATCACAATGTTAAGATAATAAAAAATATCTGATCATTTGGTTTCACGAAAAAGCTACAAAAGGACAGCTAAACTAAACTTTGAAAGAATATTTTACCTGTACAGCACCATCACTATCTCCTATTGCCAGATAATTGCCTTCATTGATCCATGACACAGAACCAACATAAGACTGAGATGAATCCATTTGACAAAGTTGTTCAATACTGCCAGAGCTGGCATGCCAAAGATATACAAAACCACCAAGAGCAACTGCCAAATAATCATTGCAACTCCAGTCCAGTAAATTCAAATCTAAAAAAATAAGGATCATTTTTACATTCTAAAAGTGTAAATTTATCCACTATTGAAGCAAAACATACATTCAATTGAAGAAATTGTATTTAATTATTCTATGTATATATCAGAACGTTGCTCTTAAAAGTTCAAAAAAACAATGTAAAAGTTAACAACTAATAAAAAATATGTTCATATGTTGAATGACTTTTTCACCTATTTAAATCTATCTTGTCAATTTCATTCATTAGTGCATACTATTTGTTCTGGCCAATTAAGATGATCTCCCTAATTTGATCCGTTTAAGTTAATCCTTCCAATTCATTCAAGCTGATCTCCATAATTTACTTCAGGTTGATCTCATTAATTCATTTAATTTGATCTCGGCAAATAATCAGAGTAGGTCTGAACAATGCATAAGATTAGATCTTATCCATTTATAACAGTTGCTTTGGTCAATTCATTTGAGTTGATTTTGTCCAGTTATCAGAGTTGATGACACAAGTTCATCTGAGTTGATATTAGAAATTCATCTGCCGTAATACCACCTATTTATCAGAATAGATCTGGTCAATTTCTATGAGTTGATCATGTCACTTTCAGCAGTTGATCTTGCTAACTCATCAGATTTAATCTTGTCAATTTATAGTTAGTATTTTATTAAAATTGATTTTACAAATTCATTTGAGTTTATGTTGCCAACTCGTATGAGTTAATGACACCAGTTCATGAATAAAAATAACTATAAATACATCGAGTAGAAAAGGGATTATAAACATTATTCATTACTCACAATAATCATCTTGAGTTAATGACACCAGTTCATGAATAAAAACAACTATAACTACATTGAGTAGAAAAGGGATTATAAACATTTTCAATACTCACAATAATCATCAATGAGGTCAGGAGCATCAAGGATTCTTTCCGGAGCAGAAGGGATATATCTTGAATTCTTTTTTGTAGATGTTCCTGGAGTTTTACTTTGACAGTATAAAACCCTCAAGTCATTTAAATAGCCTGTTTGAAATAAAATTTAAAAAGTCAACAAAGGTTGTTTGAATACATTTGCTGTTTAGTTTTAAAATTTGATAAAGCTTTCAATTTAGTCAAAATTGCCAGGAATTTTTTAATTTCATGTGTCTGTAGCACTTTCCTTTTACAGATGTTGAATGCAATGTTCTTGACTTGCTATTCAAATAACACATTGTTATCAAATGTAGCAATTTAACTCAAAACTTGCCCTCTCTTGGAGTTGGTGCTTTCTTGGAAAGGGTCAATACTTTGGCATTCAATTCTTTCGAACTCAAGTTTTCGCTCATGATCTTTCTGTATTCATCTTTTGAAACACAACCTTCATTCTCTTGTTCCCTTTCGTTTTTGCTCATCATTTTAAAGTAAGATGAATCCATGTCCATCGAAGTTCTATTCGGTATAAAACGATCACCAGAAGGCGTTTTGGGAGTTTTTTGTTTGCCTGGCGTTTTCTTATTTGGCGTTCGTGAAGGTGTTTTATTGGTGCTTCGGTTGACGAATCTATTTGGTGTCAATGCTTTTGCTGATTGTTCACAAAATTCGTCTTCAGTTTTGCGCTGCCATCGCGGTTTTGGTCCATTTTTTATTGCACTGTCCATGCGAATTATATCATTGATTTCCAATTCAAATTTAAAATGAGACATTGCAAATCAAAGATTTCTGAAACAAGTCGATTATAGTTTGACGTAAAATAACATAAAAATTGTAATAAATGGAAAGTTTATTTCCATAAATGAGCAATGCAAATTTGAGTTATCCGCTACTTTCAAAATTATCATTGCTGAGTCATGATTGGTCAACAACAATGTGAAGAAACGTTTCTATTCGTTGTCACTGAAACTTAAAAACACATCCTAAAATATTCGAGTTTCGGAGCATAAAAATCATTATAAAATTATCATTCATGAATATAGATGTTTTACAGTTTCATATTTGTAAATTCCATAGTCAGTTTGTTCAAATAGTGTATTTCTAAGTTCTGATGTCTTCACTTTCGTTTGTATTCAAAATTAAAACATGTAACGATACTCTCGGGTTCAAACCATTTACTTTATTCAAAATTAAGCTGTTTTTTCTTTATTTTTTTATGCAAAATTATTGATATTGGTTTTTTTAAAATATATTGATTTGTTTATGCTCTGAATAGCAAAATAAATGCCTCCCACTTTCATAAACCTCCCTTATACACCGCACGAAATTTCTTTAAAAGTTAATAAACACCGCGGCGTATTTTTGGGTCAAAGATTTTTTGGGAAAAAGGAAATGCGGAGATCGTGAAAGAATATTTTTTCATACCGCTCTAATGGAAGCACCATCTGGTTTACTGCAGTGAACTCTACAACAACCATTGAGTTCTATAATAACATGAGTTATTATAGAACTCAATGACAACAACTGGAAGGCTAACTCATTATAAACAAACCTAGACTTTTTTGAAGCCACTTAGAACCTGATTTGCCGCTTCGCGTGTATCTCGCATGGACTGTTTTATTTGCGTGACGGATTGTTTTGCAAAAACTGCTAACTTGGAAATATAATGCCAGCCTAAATGCTTTATTTTTTTCAAAACCGTTAGCAAAATTTGGTTATTAATGTGTTAAGATGCATTGTGGACGTTCCAAGACATGTTTTGTATACGTAACGCTGTATTATATAAAACATAAAAGGGAGAACTTGCTTCGAAATATGAATTTCTCATTTGTCGTCGAAAGACCAAAAATTTAAGATAAAACTGATAACAGGTAGTCTGTATCTTTGAATGCTGTGCAAAATACACACAATCCACTTAATATAACATGTTTCATAACAATTTTATTGCTTTTAAAGTTAGACTTGCTTTGTAAGAATTTCACATGCTCTTTTTGTAATGTGTGATAGTGATGATTTGAAATTTTGAGCTGTGGGTGATTGTTGTCATTTACTTCTCCCACTTCTTAAGAACTGGTGGAAGATTTGACATGCATCCATATTTGTGTATTGAGCATTTTATCAGCAAGTTCATGCTTATAAATAAATAGCCAAGTGTACAACATGACAAGTATTGCTAATATAACCTGCTCTACATAAATGCTAAAAAGCAACCCTCATCTTCAGTGGTTAGAAACAGGGTTTTAAAATGATTATAAAGCAAGCAACTCTATATCCTGTATCAAAATTTTATAGTATATCACATTGATTGTAAAATTAGTTTTTTTTGTAATACAGATGATTATAAATGTATATGTAATATATTAAATTTTAGGATGTGTGTTTAAAATGTTTGGTCATATTTGTGAAAATATATGATTCTATAATATTAGACTAATAATCGTTTTCATACTTGTATTACAGTACAATTTTTAATTAAGTGTTTCAAAAGTTATGAATATGGAGTGTCAATTGTGTTTTTGTCTTTTTTTTAAGTGGGTATTGACCCTTTTGACTCATTAATGGTGCAATTAATAATAACACAATAATATGGCATAACAGTTTTTTTTAAAACTAACTCAAAATATTTTTTTGCTAACTTTTTGAAATATTTTGCAAAGTGTTTTCTTTTGTTTATGCTCTGAACTTTCAAAAGGACTGGGGCGAGCTAATTTTGCTCGGAAACACAAAATTATCGAAAAACAGCGTTTTTTGCCCTGACAGCTTCATTTTCACAGATTCAAACAATATTATAAGGCTAGACAAGTGCATTTTACATCCTTTTAATGAAAAAAAACGAGGGGTGTCAGTTTTGTATTCAAGTTATAAGGCATGTTTTCACGTGCCAAAACAAAGTTCGCTTTTCATCCTTCTAAAAACAAGCTTAAACATGTACAAATGTCGTTCAAACTTGTTTTATATTAAAGTCCAAACATTGTTTAAGATTTTTAGACACTAAGCTGGCTTGAAGACCACTGTTTTTTGCAAAAAATCCGGCAATTTCGAAGTGATGTATTTCGCCTCCGTACCTTCAATGGCGGCGCTCATGTAGGCTTCAAAGATGGCGTCCAAGTTAGCCTTCCAGTTGTTATCAGTGAACTCCATATATATATATCTGGAATGATAACTACAATATATTTTATAGATATAAATTGAAGCCAAAGTCCTAGTCTCTTGCGCGGTTTGTACGTCAGTTCCAGTCCTTCAAAGTCGAATATTCACGCGGTTTGTACGTCAGTTTCATTCCCCTGAGTGCCAAACATACACGGCCACTATAAATTTGAATACAAACTGCAAAAGCATAAACATATAAACAACATCACGACCAACAACACACTAGGCCAACTCTTCGCAAAAGGTTATTTTTTACAGCTAAAACTTTACTACAGTGAGTTCGTTGTAACTTACAACTTGTAACGAGGAAAAGCCAACTGAAAATTACACTTTATGCTAAAAGGCAATACAATAAGAAAATATGACGAGGAAATATTCAAGCATAAATTTTTCTTTCGTCGGAAGGTAAATTTTCAAACGGTGTCAGACAGTGTTTGTCTTTTTGTCATTTCAATGGATTTAAAGATCTGTTTTCCGAAGAAAAAGAAACTTGAATATCCAGGTTCATAAAAATGTTGAGTCTATAACTCGCATTTTACTTTTTACAGAGCGATTGTATCTTTCATCGATTTTGATAGTGCTTGAAATACTAAATGGTTGTCATCTCGATATCAGTAATTGAATATCCTTAAAGACTTTGATATGTTTTAAAGGAAAACCGCAGCGTAAAAGCAGATCGACTAAGTTCACCTCACCCTGCTTCTCGATTTATTACTTTGATTCACTTTCCGTGAACCTTTTCATTCCAAAAATTTCGTTGTTTTTACGCTCTGATCAAGATCCGAACTCTACCATTACCAAGGGACAAATGATTTAAAAAAATTAAAATGAACACGCGAGAGACTAGAGCCTGACGTGTGATGACGAATGATGACGACAAAAATTTTTTTGGCTTCAATTTTTGGCTTCGGTTATCATTCCAGTTATTCAAATGTCGAGTTCACTGGTTGTTATGGAGTTCATTAGGTTTACTGATATAACCATTGAGCTCTATAAAACCTGGAGGGGCAAAGGGGCCTGGACCATTGAGTTTTATAATAACTGGAGCGGCTATCTCAAGCGCGGCCTTAGATATAATAAGATATCTGATGATGCCAAAAAAATGGCGGATTTCGTCCGCTGCCGCTGAGATTTACCGAAATTAACCGCTTTTCCGAAAATTTCATAATTTCCCACTCCCTCCTGAGGAAAGAGTGAAGAAAATGTATGTGTGTATTTGGGATTCGGCAAGCAATTTTTTGATGAAAATCACGATAAAAACCTACAATTCGTAACAGCGAGTCAACATAGCTTTCCAGTTATCGGCTCCTACGAGGATGTATTTATAACTATCGATGAAAGAGCTATATGTCGGCTACACATCTATGAATGCAGATATGCGTCGTTTTCTTACCAGCGTCAAACTTGTTTCATCGATTAAACTCTTTAGTCTATACAAAAAAGTATATCATAGCTCATCTCCACAGTGGTTCACGGGAGAGAATTTAGCTTATTTGTTATCATTGCTATTTTGCTTCTTTTCGTGGAAAGGCAATGGCTTTTTTCTCCACAATTGTAGGATTTTTATATGTTTCTTTAAAAAAGTAAATATTAAATCTCTGGATATTTACGGATTTTCTGTAATTGAGTTTCATATTAAATTTCAAAAAGACTCAAGTCTGCATAGGTTTGGTAATATTGTATAGAAATTACTTTAAGTAACCTTTTTGTGATGTTCTGAAGTGCAACTGCATCAAATACTTGTAAAGTTGTAGCACATTTTGATTTTGTTATATTGATATATAAATTGGGCAAAATGCAAATAATCATCAAAACACTTATGCTTCCAATGGTGTTTATAATTTATTTTTAGTTTTAATACTTCTACCCTTCTTTTTCACTTTTTTTGTTTTTCCTATATTTTCAATATAAGTGCACAATTTGAATGATTAACACAGTTTTCACTTCAATAATAAATTTCATAAGCAGTTGGTAGTGCATTGTCTCCATCCATAGAATTTGACCATGATCAAATTAAATAACTCTGGATAAGGCAGACAATAAATCAATTATCTTTACAGCATTATCATTTATTTAAGACTCTGCCTGGTCAATAACATCTTCCAGTCATCTTTACTCCTTGGTCTTCCCTGCATGTTGTCAGCAAATAGAACATAACAAGCTCTGCTCCAAATCATGGGTACTGTTGGGGCTGATCATTTCTTTTTGATACGTTTCACAGAGCAAAATGTGTGCAGGGTCTTTTTTGCTTTAGGGAAACTATTTTGCAAATAGATAGGTAAATTTACGATTTCATGCATTAACAAATGACAGAAAATTGCTTTTGTAACATGTATAATTGCTTTTCAATCGTTGACGGACTAACAAAACAAACAACTATCTCACCTGTGAGAAGCGATATGTTCCTTTTTGTGGAAACTACGACAACCAACAATTGAACGATTGAAGTGTTGGCATTATAAAAGAAATGCCAAAAAAGAATCGTCACAGAATATGGAACTAACGATATCCATATTCTGTGATATCGTGTTTGTTTTTGAAAAATTCTTTATAATTTACTATAGACACCAGGGGGAGGTCGAGAATATTATCTTTCTGCAAAGCGATCATTTCAGCGGAAATACGTCCGTTGGCCGCCA